TGAGGGTCGGTTGGGGAACAATCACCACCCGCTCAGCTGGTGTCCAGAAGGAATGCCACACCGAAACACGTTCCAGCTACTAGATGGTCGCATATATCTCGCGCTTGTGGTTTCTGCTGCTGTACTTCCGCTTCTTTCTCGCCTACGTACCTGAACCCATGCTAGATTCTTCTTGAATACTGATGGTTCAAAATGCCTGTGTTCCAATTGTGTTGTCCGATTGCTGCAACAGATTGTTTCGCACATGACAGAGGTCCCGATTTGTGCGGACCCGGTCCAGCCGCTGCAGGTGCAAGGCTAGCTTCGCTGGCTGGGAAACTTCGCAACAGCGCTACTCTGGGCCTTTTTTGCTACAGTTTTGTCCTCGACACAAGACAGCTCGTCTCCAGTGTGCATTGTGCTGACCTTGGCACCTGCAGTACGCTCCTTGAGATTGCCCGTTGTGTGGCCTAAACCTCAATAGATCCACAACCACGGCGGCCTAAATCCAGCCAGTTTGGCCAATTTCCTAGAGCCACTAGGTATGTTGGAAATGGCTTCTCGAGCCAGTGATGTGTGTGGACATGACGGCGTCTTGCAAGCGATGAATGTGTCATGTGTGGACGGAACTGAAGTGCGGACAACCGTGCTTTGCCAACCACCGCATAAAGGGACTAAGACTGTCCCTATGCAACCCCGTGGCCTGGTCTCTGTATGCATTGCATCTGAGGTTACTTCGTTTTGTGCCGCAGCAAACCAAGCTGCATCTGTTGCCAGCTTCGGCCGAGATGCTTTACCAGCCCTGCAGCTAGTCTCTCTTCAAGCTTGGCAGACCTCTGTGCTAGGAAGTCGAATAGATCTGGACCTGGCTGCACAAAACAAATGCGGCTATCAAGTGCGTGGCAGCCACAAAGCTCAGAACGGCACCCTCAAGCAGCTCCATGACCTTTACCGGTACAGTGTGGGATCAGATGAAGTGTCATGCAGCTAGGCTGAGGCATGCAGTTCGGCATGAATCCTTTGTACGTGGAGCAATCAGGAACATGCTTTAACTAGACTTCGCGGGATTCTTCGCAGGAAACTGCTTTGCACGGTTTTGTCGTGACCACATCAGAGGAGTCCTGCCTGGTACAAAGCCTGCTGCGGATGCACGAAAGCCGCGAGGAAGCCAAGGATGCCTAAGGCAGACTGCAGACTTCTGACGACTGAGTCACTGAGTGCCGTGCCCGAGTCTCGGAGAAGGTCTGAGCATCTCCGAGAATCTGAGACTGGCACCGTTGGCAAGTGGCTCGCTGCCAGTCATGCAACGGATGTACTCTAGATGGCGATCAGGCGAGACAGCCAGGAGGCTGTATGCAACCTGAGCCCAGGCACGGGCAGTGCGTTGCTCGCACCATCGCACTCGGATTGCGCCATCGTGACGTCTCTTTTTCCAGCCCCGCCAGACGCTTTCCGGCTTGCGACTCAGAAGACTTGCGGGCGAAGGCATTGCCAGAACTGCGCATAGTGCTTCCTGCCAGAAACGGCTGCTTTCCAAGCCAGCTTTCTTGTTCTTTGTTGCCTTCTGCAGCCTGGGTGCCGAGCAGCTTCCACGGTCGCAACATGGCTCATGGCGGCCGGCTGCGAATTTCTGTCGTCCGAGCCAACGTTGAAGCCTGTGCTCTCTGGGGCGCGGGGTACATCATAAATGCCCACATCGGCTTGCGGCGCCTGGGAGCTGCGACTTTTGAGGCGGCTCTTCTCCGAGGAGCGCACGGGTGCATGCTGCCATAGACTCGCCTCGGAGAGAGAGGTGAGAGGCTCTCAGACTGTCTCAGACTGAGATGCCTTCGGCTCAAAACTGTCCGCCACGCGGAGCCACGGCCACGGCTCCGAAGCGTCTGGTCGAGGAGCTGTTGCTCTCCACGTTGTAGCCGCCCTCCTGGGCCAAGACAACTCTGCCATCGGCAAGTCCTCGGAAAGCTGCGTAAGTTAGAAATACCCAGACAGCAAAACTGCCAAACTGAAAAAAACGGAACACAAACCAGGGCCAGGCTTCCCATGAGCCTCTTGGTGATTTCGTAGAACCCGTTGGGTGTCACAATGCATCCACCTTGAAAAGACATCAAGATCAGGAGACAGCAGATGAGTAGAATGTGATCGGATATCAGAATATTGTGAATTGTAAACGCAAGCCACACCACACCGGATGGGTTTAAAGGTCTATCGCCGTGTCGAGTCTTACCGTTGGCTGCTGCCACCTCCGGTAAAGCCATCTCTTCATGCTTTTCTTGATGGACTCTTTATCATGTGTCAGGCTCTTCGGTTTCTGTCTCTTAGCACGTCACATGCTCACATCCTCATCGAACGTTTGCATGACCTCCGTTGTAAGGAAAGAACTCTTACCAAGCTGGCCTACTCTGAACGGCCAGTCGGATCTTTGGGCTGGTGCTGAGTGCTAGACTTAGACAGGCGGCGAGATCAATAGCAACCTTTTCGGCCTTTTGCCTTTGGTCGTTGCATTAAGCCGTCCGGGACTGAATTGCACACATGCTCTGGGTGCTCCAGCCAAGGGGATCTCCGGGGGCGGCATCAAAGCCGGCGGAGATGAGGACCAAGTCGGGTGCGAATGCTTCAGCGATCCTCGAAACAAAGGCGAAGACCCACGATCCTAAAATGTTGTAAATTGGACCAATCAAAGCCTTAAGCTAGACATCAGCGCCTTAAGTTGAGCTGAAGCTCGGCAGAAAGAGGCGATCAAAGGCGTAGAGGAACTCGGCATCCCCGGGCGGTGTCTTACTCTTCTCCACCTCCCAAGGGACGTTCACGGTATAGCCCTCGCCTGTCCACGAAACTGGCTTCACATGCCACCTGCACTATTTCTGTCCGCGGGCACCTTCGCCTACCCCGTGGCTGGTGAAGTTGCCGAGAGGCCCCGTTGGGTAGTACTTGCCACGATCGTACCGGTGCACAGAGCAGAAGAGAACCTCTCAGTACGACACGGAGGCAAAAGATAATCCAGTTCGGCGTTCTCCACATCTTTCATCTCGATGCAGGATGCAGAGAAGTGGCGGATTCGTCTTCCTCGAACATCCTGTGTGTCCCATTCCCATGGTGGACATCGAAATCTACGATGAGCGTCTTGGAGGACAATCCTGGATGCTTCGTGTTCAGAAACCCCTGCTTCCAGAACCTCAAATGCCTGGCCTCGTTGCCTTGCCATAGCAGCGGCCAGCCCTACATTGCCAAAGAGGCAGAAACCACGTGCGGCATCGCTCTCTGCATGGTGGCCTCGAGCGAGGACTTGGCTCAAGCATGCTCAAGCGAGCATGAAGTGAAGCGACAAAGCTGGAAGGAGTCCTGGTGGTCGCACCACGCAGACAGCGCTTTGTACTTTCCCAGCGCAAACCTCCTCTGTGGCGCTGAGCACGCTCCCGGCTGCAAGCATGGCGGCCTGCGAGGGGACTCAGTCTTTTCGTCTTGAAGCCTTGCAGGCATGTCGCAGGGGCTTACCCTCTTCAGGACATCGTGCACGCGGTGCTATCACCGCACAGTACGGGCAAGCCTGCCATTGCACCAGTGCCCTGGTTATTCCCAAGCTAAAGCATGTACGACCTGCACACTAGTCAATAGTCACTGCAATGCGAGCGGGCTGCTTCAAGCGAGTCTGGGCACAAGAAGATGCTGTCGTACTTCTGACCTGGATAAGCGAAGGTAGGAGACATACTCTAGCCGTGCTAAACGCTGCCCAACATGCATGCACCACAGAGCTACGGTACAGTAAGCTCCCCACTGAGCTCGACCGTCTCCTAGCATCGCAACGAGACGATGGATTGATCAAGCACTGACCCTGTCGTGACTCCATCTCACTGCATAGGGATCTCCTTCTCTGACATGTTCGCTATCTGGAACATTGCATCCACGTGCTCAGGGGTGTGCTTAAGCTCCAACTCCTCTTTGGTTGCCTTCCTTAAGTCGCAACTGCTTCGTAAGCAATCAATGTGAACCTGAAGCAGTGTACCCTTCTCAGGAAGTCCAAACCGACAAATGCTCCCGAAAACATTGCGAACATGCCAGAGAACCTCGCATCCAATCGGACACACCGCTGCGTCAGCCCCTCCCGCTCCAAGTATTCGAAGACCTTGAGGATACGAGCTGGCTGCTCTGGATGCGATGGGTCCTGGGCGCAAAGCTATCATGTCCTCGTGGCAGGTTGTGAGCATTGTCGGAATGGCTATTGCCAGCGTTACTTGTTACCATTCTGGCTGATGGCCCACAGCTCCTCGAGATTTCGATGCTGCGCCATCCGGTCATCGAAAATTAGGCCGACGACATTATCATTGACGCTCTTCTCGCCCCCAAAGTCTCAGCACAGTAATCGGCCGCAATCTCTTGGATCGCAGCTGGGCAAACGTGTATGATGAGGGACGACCGAGACGCAGGCCAAAGAAGCGGCGCTGCACTCTAGTGGTGCCAGGCCGCATGTGGCGCAATTTCCGATGTCCTGGGCCGTAGCTGCAAACAAGAAGCAAAACGGTGGAGTTGAGCTCTCCGAGACAAGCTGCGCAGCTTGCAGGCTCCGGCCAGTCCCATGGCTAGGAGCAAGAACTTCTTGCTGGCATGCTCATAAGGGACTGCTCCCAAGCAAGAGCCTGACATTCAAGCCGCAAAGAAACGGTAATTACCGGCATCAAGATGGCTGGCGACACAGAACAGTCCATCTGCCTGATGCAGTCCGGCACCCACAGGTGCGCACGGCAGGCACACTCGAATGAAGTAGCGGCACCACGAAGTCCATTGCGTGAATCCGGACGCATGGACTGTCGTATGATACAGAAATCTGGTTGATATCTCTGACGGAGACTTGACTACCTATGCCTGAGTCGCAACACGTAACTTGGGTCCGCGGATGCACTCGAAAGCCTACTTTCAACAAGTTGGGGTAGCAGCGTGAAGCGTAAAGAACACTGTGAGCCGCACACTCACGCATGTTGCACCGAGAGATGCAGTCGCTGAGAGTTTCTGTCCAGCTCCTGTTGCAGTCAAGGGACTTCCTCAGCAAAGCCACCCTTGCTGGGCTTTCGAGTCATCTTGATGGCCTCAACAACGGGGAATCGCTCGTAAGAATGCGAAGTGTATGCAACTGGGCTGGTTGGTGTCAAGACTCATAATACTTGTTCGGCCGCAGCTCCGGAACCTTGCTGCAAAAACCGATCTTGCCACTGGCTGGACAGGGCAAGCTGTTTCGATTGCACAGAGCCGAGTCACAAGCTTGTGACCAGCGGGAGTAGGTCTTCCTTTAAAGACCGTTCCAAAGCCGCCTTCGCCTAGTGTACCCTCAAAGCCTCAGAAGACTCTGCAAGCTCAACCATCTGCCGCAAGATGTCGCGCAACTGTGCCAAGTCTTCAGGCCAAGTGGCTGAGAAATTCGCTGACATGACCTCATCGTTACGATCATTGAAAGAGTCTCAGCAAGTCGTGGATCTCTAACTGGGCTGGATACTGAGTGGTCATGCTCTAAGCTCAAAGCGAGGCGGGATCAGCAGGAAAAGCTTCTCCGGGTTGATCTGCGCCCGCAATTATGTCTTGTGGATACTACTTTCATACTTGTCGATGACTCGACAACTGATGAAAGCCAGTGTGGATCCGCCTCGCGCATCCGCGAGCGGAGGCGCATCACCGCCTCATCGTTGTTGTCTTGGACATGGACTTGAAGGAACCTCCGTGGCGCAGGAACGAAAGGACGATTCCGGTGCGGGCATCTAGGAGCCAAGACTCGATCACATGCCCTGCATCTTATTGCCACGACTCTCAGATTGTTCAATGGCTATCGCTCTCGATTTCCTATTACGAGCCTCAGCTTGCGGCAACACCAACTGCAAGGCCCTCGACTTTCAGCTTGAAGCACAGGCATTGTGTCACACGCCTACGCAATGCTACTCCTACGAGGTTCACGCTTCTTCCAATCTCTACATAGGAAGCTGCTCGAAGATGAGCCAGGAAAGCTGGAAGAAGCCACTCTAAGGTTTCAGTAAGCTCAGTTGTGCTTTTGGGGACTGGGGTTCAGCTTACTGCCATCTTGCTTGTTTGAGCCAAAGCTGCAGCATCACGGCTCGACTTGAATCTGGAATCTGGAGTGCAGGGCAGGACGGAAGGACATTCCCCACAATCAAGCTGTTGACACTGCCTTGCCATCAAACGATCATGACATGAAACGCGAAAGGAAACGTTGGAGATCCTGGCTTTGGAACCTCACACGCATCTCACATCATTGGCGAGATCCGAATAATCCGACACGAGTGTCGACAGTGACTCAAGTCTGCTGCGGTGGCAGCCATGGGCCGTAAATCTCCTGCAGGGACACATTTCAGTCACGCTAACATTACATTTTGCCTCGGCGCCTTCCGGATTCCCTTCATGGGCAAATTTGAGTGCAGCAGCCAAATGCAATGTGCGATACACAGGCCCATCTGTGATTACTGCACTTGAGCTTCTGTACAGTCCAAGTCAAGGCCCAACGACGTTCTCAAGCCACTTCTCACCCCAGTACACCTTGTCGTCGCAGCCACCAGGGCCCGCCACATCGCATTTTTCACAATCCGGATCTGAGCAAGGCCGACAAACCCAGGACTCCTTGCACAGTAGAGCTTGGACCACTTCTCGCTCACTTGCCTAGCCGGGTTCTCCTCTGTCGAGTGCAATGTCCGCTTTGGCAGCAAGATTGCCTCGGAACAGGACCGTCTTCCATTGCAGCTACGTTTGCTAGGCTAGTCGCTGTGAAGATAGCGCTGCTTCGGACTCATGCTGCAGAAGGGGACCGAAGCGCTGCTGGCACTTCTAGTTGCAGGCGCGTTGCTGTCCAAGCCTGTCTAAGAGAAATGCGATGACTCAAGTGTAGTAATCCCTTCCCGCTTTTATCGAACACCCCCCTAATCATAGAAACACATTCGAGCGAATCCTCCCGGCGCTTTAGAACCTATTCTGAATTAGGGGGAGGGCTTTGAGGATCCAAATACCCGTAGAGCACAGTAAGAGCGAAAGCAAAGGGCAAGAGCAGGAGCAAGAGCGGAGCATCAGCAAGAGCAGCAGCAACATCAAAGCAAAAGCAGGAGCGGGAGCAAGAGCAGGAGCAAAAGCGGAGCAACAGCAAGAGCAGGACCATGTGCAAGAGACGCAGCAGAAGCAGGCGCGGGAGCTAGGGCCAGAGCAGGAGCAGGAGCACGACCCCTCAAAAATGGCAGTAGAGCTAAAAATACCACCTAATTATAGCAACACTTTCCGAGTTTCTGTTGGGGGCGGGGCCTCCGTCCGTTTAACGCAAGGGGGAAGGGATTCACGCATAATCAGAAACTCAAGCAGCAATGCAACTTTGCTCGATCAATGCACGCCCTCGCCCACCCCCTACTCACTGTCAGCCAGCCCCGGAATCAACAATGCAAGCACGACGCAGAACTCCGCCTTCGCACAGCTGTGCTTGTCGCAAGATCCAGGTCCCGTGGCAGTGCAGCTCACACACTTGTCCGCACAAGCATGACACGCACCATTCACCAGGACGGAGCCAGCAACGCCTCAGAAGGTATGGTCTCTCGTTGAACCTACGCAAACACTTCGATCGGTGCATGTGGCCACATTGCAATGAAGGAGCATTTCTCGCAGGCTGTCGACACCGTGCACTCAAGGCAGCCAGGCCCGCAGACAGCACAGTTTCCAGATGGCGTGATGCCAAAATCCTGCACAGCTCGACAACACAACAGGCATCGCCAACGCAGCTCAAATACTGTTATAGATATGCGGAAGGAGGACATGTGTTGATCCGTGTTGTCTGCCTCTCTAGCTGCCACGAGATGAAATGTCGGAGGTCCTCCTGGCAGCTATCACCTCGGCACAAGAAGCTTTGCATGACTTCACGTCGTCCCATGGCGTGCGTGCTCAAACACTCCTACAATTCTCACTCCGGGATAAGCTTACCATTGTCTGGTGCGTTTCGCCGATATGTTCTGGGGTGATATTCTTCCCTTCTATGTGCCAACCTGCGCAAACCAAAACTGGAATTAACTGGTTTACGCTGTCCTTCGTGTGGCATCTATGCCGCAGGGAACCGGATGCATCACGTCTCTTCCTTCTTTCCTTCCTTCTGTGGGTCGAGCCTAGGGATCTCGAGATGATGGCCCGGGAGCTGCAGATACTGTCCCCCAAACCTCAGCACCCTCACCGTCTCTCTGTCTCTGTCTCTGCTGTTGTGGGCCCAGAGGCAAAGGCCTCTCTATCTCCCCCCGTCCTTGTCTTCAATTCGTGTGGTCACAACGCACCACGCACTTCGGAGCACCAAAACCGGGCAAACTGGCCGCTTTCCTGGGCTTCACGTCCAGACTGTCCAGTCCCGGCACTTCCATACGTCTGACTGGGGGACTGCCAGCCGACGCCGTTAACGAGATGCAGTCAGAGGTGCCAACTCTCTGTCCCAATATATGACTGCTGGATCGTGGCCGGACCGCTACCCTGTTGAAACTCCAATCCAAGTGATCGCGAAGAGGAAGGCTCGAGTCGAAATCTTGTGGGCCCCCGATGAGTCCTGCTGCTGCTGGCAGCTCTGTTGTTGCTACTACATGCTACTACTGCTGCAGCAGAGGAACCGTGCATACATCTCTTGACGGGGCTTCGTTGGTCATGCAGTGCTTGAGCTCTTGCCGAACTCTTGAGCTTTCTTGTCTATGAGCTTTAGCTGCAGGCAAGCCACAGGAATACTCGGAGTTGTCACACACGCTGCAGTGCTGCACCCGGCACGGCTTGCAAATCGAGCGAGGTTTCCAGAGTGCGTTTTGCCTCTGCAACATCACTTGTGAATCAAGTCGGCCCGTACTTCAGTAAGTATATGAGGGATTTATTGAGTACACAGCCACACCTAACTGCGGCCTGGATCGGCCAAGGTACCAGCCCTGAAGTCCGTACCCAGATTGACAGCCGCCGGTGTCGCAGCCATCTCCCTGGCTTTAACTCGCAGCGGGTAATTGCTGGCGACACGAGGAAAGAGAAGACTGAAACAATTACCTAGTGAAGCGAACGTTTGCAGAGTGCCACGAATCTAACGTGCATTGGCCGAAAGTGCACAAACTTGTATAAACTTGGACGGACAAGCGATGAAAAGGCCTGGCGGTTCTGGCATCGTATGCAGAAGTCGCCGCATGGCTTGCAGTGTCCGTCTGCTTGCTCTGCATAGCCGTCCTGCAGTTGCACGCTGCGGGCACCAAAAGCCTGAACTGGAGGGTCAGGCGTTGTCCAAGTGGTATGTTCAAAGTGCAGCTTGCTATCGACGGCTTTGCCAGTGCCGCTGTCATCGCCATCAGCAGCGGTTGTAGAAGTAGTAGCAGAAGTGCTTGTAGCAACTAATGGTCGTTGTAATCGTCGTAGCTGCAGGCGTAGCAGTGGTAGGAGCGCAGGAGCAGGAGGAGCAGGAGTAGCCACAGCAGCAGCAGCAGCAGCAGTAGTACGGCCACCACGAAGCTGTAGTAGTAGTAGTAGTAGTAGTAGTAGTAGTAGTAGCAGTAGTCGTAGTGGTAGTGGTGGTGGTAGTGGTAGTGGCAGTGGCAGTGGTAGTAGTAGCAGCAGCATAAACACAGAGGTCGTCCATCAAAATCTATGGTAGATGCACCGTCTATTGATGTTTATCGCAGGTACAGATTGGTGTGACTGTCATCTGCCTTGTTGGAGTTGAGGAGTGACAACGTGAGCAAAGATTGGAACAATGCGAGTAGTGGAACTGCTACTCTTGTCGCGGAACTGCCACTGGCAGGCATCAAAGCCAACAGGACTAATCTCTAATCTGACAACTTTCTGCAGACTAGCAACACATGTGTGATTTATCGCCGAAATGCCGTGCTTCAATACTGGCTTTCTGGAACAAACCATCCCGCAATTGCGAGAGACCGTGGTCCCGGCACTCATCGCAAATTCCAGGCTTCTCACACCAAAGGCATGCTTCGCCGCATGCGTCGCATCTCGTGGCATTGCCATCCTCACACATGAGCTGTCGATGCATGGCTTTGTGAGAACCGAGACATGAGCTTGAGGGTGCATAACAACTTTCACTATACTCAGGTACAGAAGCAGGACGGTCGACGGTGTCCTCCACAAGTGCGAAGCCACTCTCACATACTGTGCATCGGTCTTCATCACAGCGCCTGCCTCAACGCACTGTCGCTTGAACTCCCGAGGCTTTGTACGCTTTGTCAAATTCTGTGAAACACCATCGGCTGCAGTGCTTCCATCGTGGCCGCTGATCAAAATCGAACCTTCCAGAACCAAGTGAGAGATTGAAGCCGAGACTCAGTTCTTCTGCTGGCACGGAAAACACGATCCATCAGTGGCCAAGCCATATCCCTCCACGCAGTCGTGACCTCGGGTCAAAATTTCGGCCAAGGCCCGGAAGTTTCAAAGTGACATTCGTAAGGCGAGAGCACGGCAGTTCTCGAGTGGTGGCCTGGCTCCAGAAAGCAAGCAAAGCTACAGACTGTTGGCGATGTACACATTTCTGTTTCCATAATTGGCGTGTATGTTTATAGACTGAATATATTTGACATTACTTATCTGTGTACATCTAAATGGTATACTACATGTCCATATATATCAGTCCATACCGATCGACACCGTTCGGTTCGAACACTCACTGAGCAATCCAACACACCTTTTTGGCGACCGCAACGTGGGGTAAGCCGAGCCATCTCACATCCAACGACCCCTCGAATGTGTGATCTCTCTCACACGAACCGATCACGGCAACTATGTTGCGAATGATCTGACACATCAGCATCATGCGAGCTATCGAACTAGTCAACACACACTTGCGCAGATGGAAAACAAGCGAATGAAGTATTGCTTCACAACCTGCAACTGAGCAGTACATAGCCCCAACATCCAAGCAACAAACTCATACAACCCTTCATCAATGATCAACGGAAACCATGAAAGCACCATCCACTATTGCCTCTGACGCTACATTGCTCAAACATGAGCGATAGGATCCAAATATACAATAATCCAGAAATGGCAGTACCCACCGTGCCCTTCGAAATGTTGGTGTAAGCCCAACAGCGCTTCTATCTCGTCTGTTACATAGAGCAGCAAGCAGCACCGGCGTCACGATTTCCAGCAGAACTAAAAGAATGAGTTATACAGATACATACGTAGAATATAGAGATGCTCTGTCAAACGACCGATGTCTCGATGCGAGTGAACAACGGCAAGAAGAAACGGTCATAACATTATCAGTCGTACTAAGGTTAAGGTCGCTGTGCTAATGGTCATGGAAATATAGTTAAACCTAGTGTAGTCACGTGAGTGGCATTGCCAATTGTAGTAATGATGATGATGATGATGACCGTGCTCTTAAACTTTGAGGTGAGCTTATGTAAACTTGATACCCCGACTAATGTTTTTTTGATAATCGCACTCGCCTGGCGCATTTTGCAATAAGTACGTGCCAATGCCCATCATGTTGAGGCTGCTGTCGTTATGGACAATGGGATTGTTGAGTAACATCAATCACTACTACAGCGCCAGCACTGCTTAAGAAAACAATAAATCAAAAAACAGCATATCGATTTTCTTACATGCTGCCCCCGAGACCAGAAACGCAGGACCCTAAACACATTACAGTATCTTGAGTATGGGTACAGCGCTTATTCAGCCCCTGAAATTCTTATATCCTGTGCTTTTGGTGGGGTCGCCCACAAGGGAAATACCAAAATTCAGCCCCTGGATTTCTTGTTTCCTCAGTTTTTATGGTCGTTCTTGCTACTACCAGAGCTTTTCGTATTCATGGTGTAGCAATACCATCTATTTCATGTTCAAATTCGTCTCTTGGCAAGCAGCATGGATAGTGCTGCTAGTCGCAACATCAGCAAATACAAAAATGTCAGTGCCAATACATGCAGTGGAATCAAACAAAGGCGTGAATACTAGTTGTGCTGCTCTGCTCTGCGAATACTGCAGACCGCCGCAATACAATTAATAAACACATGCGACAGGCTACGACACGAGTTGAGGAAGTAACAGGACAGAGAACGGCAAAGGGGTCGGCTCGAAAGTTCAATTCGGTGGATCCAAGATCCAAGATGTTTGCGGCTCTTGAGAAGAACCTTGGCTTCAGAAAGCCGTCACTTTGAATTTCAGAGTGCTTTCATGTGGCGAGGACAGAAGTCCACAGTGAAGCACATTGAACGCTGCATTGAACATATTGAATTCAAATTCAAGGGACAACAGTCTGGTGGGAAATCAGGCATAAATCTCGAATCTTGGGTCGCCACCGTCGATTTTTCATTTCAATGTGGTGACTCTCGTGTTTGCCCCGAGAGTTCGATGTAATGCAATTTGCAAAGAATCCCGCCGGCCTCATGAGCAGGACGGGAGTCCGCGTCTTCCGCGTCTTCGTTGCAGTCTTTACAGTCGCTCGCGGCGCAGGGCAGGCAAAGGCCCAGTCCGTCGCTCGACAGGCCGAAGCCGGCCTGTCGGATTCGCGAGTCCGGAAACACGAGAGAGCTTCTATAGGAGCCGCTACTACCGAAACCTAACCTAAAGGACCCAAACCGCTAGGACCGCCTAGCGGAGCAGAGGTGCTGCCCAGCTGCCTGGCATTCACTGCACTCGGCAGAAACAGCATCTGCGTCACATTTCTGGCAGCCTGCTCAAATTGAAAAACACTGTGCACCAGCAGCGCTGCGCTCGCAGGAAGGTAGAGGCCTGGTCCACATGGGACACATGTTGTACCCTCGGGTCTGTAGCCGGCCTGCCCAAGCTGAGCTGCTCTGAACTGTTTTCACTGGATCACATCCGAAGCCCGAAGCCTTGCATTCCCGACAGATGCCCTGGTGACTGCAGCGCGTGCAATGTGGACCACACTTCCCGTCAAAGCGAAGGAGCACGTCAGAGGACACGGGCTCTGGGCTCAAAGCGCCTCGGACAGGGCACTGTTAAGTCCACAAGTCCACAACTCCACCTGCTTGAAGAGTTCAAGACTACGGCATTCTTGTCTCTATAAGCCCCTACCATCCCATCATCCCATGCCTGTGACCATATTCACGGCAACTGCATAAATCGCCGCATTCTCCTTCCATGGCCAGCTCTGCACGGAGAACTCGGCTACATAGGGGAATGCAAAGTGATACATCCTCGGTCAGACGAGCACGCGCACCGCCGATGTGGCTTGCAAACTTGGGCTTTGAACTCTTCTATTTCTTCGTGCTATCTTTCTGCATTTCAAACAGGCCCGCTCCCGAAAAGTCTGGCTGGCGTTCTCACATTCCAACAGCTTTCGTGGCAGATTCCTGGTCTCCCTCAGCACATATCACCACGACATCCCAAACCGTCTATGCGGAAAGAGATCAGCGACTCCATATCCACCAAGCATCCCAATCCTCTTGTTGGTGTCCGTTAGTGCGTTGAAGATGTCCGCTGCCTGACTCACCTGATGCTTCATCTAGAGCTGGGTGGGCATGGTGGGCATCCTCAAGGTAAACATGTATGACAGCGATCGAGGTGGGCCAGCTGCTAGCTGAAGGCTCACATTGACATCCCAGGCACCCCATAGCCATGACGCTGAAGCCAAAACCCGAGCTGCAGGGGAGTCGTAGTTGCTTGCCCTTCCAGGCGCTAGTCGCCGCAAATCGGCTTTGTCGAGGCATGCAAATAAAATGATGATGAAGAGCGGAGAAGGAGAACTCCCGTCCTGACACTATCCCTCGCGATCCGTCTGCTCCACGACCTTCTCGAACCTGCAGACTGGTGGGAATACCCCTTCGTCGAGGCCAGGCCACCCAATACCTTACAGCGCAAAAGCTGCAATTACTGGCGCTCTTTGCCTTCAGTGCGCATCGGTCCCCTGCTTACGGGCTGAGTCGAAGACACGACTGGTGCGGCGACGAGATCTTCCGGTGCATCCCTGGACAGACATGGAATGCCTCGGAGCTTTCCGATGGAGAGAAATACTCATGTCAAATCTTCTGAGTGTCGAGATATGTTTGATTGCAAACCAAAGTTGAAGCCGAACGGTACCGGAACAACCCACAATACGTAGCGCTCGGCAGTCTGCTGACCCAGCTGCTGAATTTGATCGATTCATCACTGGAGGTACCATTCCAGACAGCTTCTGCAGGACAGCAGCCGTGAGGGAGCCCAACGCCGGGCGTCATCATCACCTGAAGCTGCGGATGCCGAAAAACACGCTGACGATTGCTGCGTACAGCTTTCAGATGCCTCTCCAGTGTCAACACGAGGCAATATGCAATTGAGTCGCAACGGGACGATCGTTCGTCACCAAGCCGTACCGCAAAAGAGTAATCGGCAAAATGTTGAACACCTACAGAGCTGTGTGACTTCGCATGCCATGTAAGCATAAGCAGCACCGCACTATTTCCAGCGTCAACCGGTCAACAGCTCTGAATGCGCTTAACGGCCGAGATGCCCTGGAACTGGCGTTCAGCAAAATGGCGAATGTAACTGGTATCCAGACCAGAAATAAGCGCTGGATGTGGTCAGACCTGAAGCTCATCAGCTGGAAATCGGTATGCTGTCGAAAGCCAGCGTGTTGCGCACCTTCGCACGTGATCCGCCGAGGTCGGGGACGTGGGCTCGTACACGTCAACCTTCCAAGTTGGCGCTCGCTCCATCGTACGCACGTAGCTGATGAAGCGAACCAGCCTGCAGCCGAAACCCCAACTTCAAAGCCCAAATTCTCGGGGATGCGAACGCATGTGTCACGCGATGTATCTTTCTGAATGATTCTGCAACAGCTGGGCAGCATGTTGTCGAAGTTGAGTGTCATGAAGACGTAGTAGGTGATCCACAAGGGCTCGATTGGCCTCTCCCTGCTCAGGATCAGGTGGTCAGATGCCACCAGCACCATCAAAGCAAGAACGTACCTGAGAATCTCCAGTTCTTAGTCTTTTCTGCTTTTGTAAATCACTCTTGGTCAGCCGTGACACTGCATCCCAACCACCAGCCAGCACGTGTACCATCGCCAATTCTTGGCCAGCCGACTCCGGCGAAGAACACTTGCAGATTCACCTGACAAGTCAAGCGCCCAGGAAAAGTTGCTCTTGTGAGATACTGATACTAGACACTAGGTTCTCCAAAATGCTGTGCAATGTGGGCTGGCCAGAAATCTCAGGAGCTGCAGCGCAGGGCTTGAGCCACGTTTGAGACTGTCCACCGGTTACTTCGGAACAGCTGGTTGATGTGCTGATGTTGCAGCAAAGACCCGGCATGCCGCGCTACAGCAATCATTTCCAAGTGTTGCATGTAGAATCCGAGCACGAATGGAAGTGGGAGGAGGCTACAGAGGTCGTCAAGCTTCCGAAGCTGCCGACGGAATGTCGGGAAGGAGCCATCACACAGACTTCAAGCGAGCAGCCGATTTCATAGAACTCCTCGGCAATCTGACCCAGCATCAAGATGGAGGCAAAGGCCTTCATAGCATTCAGTGACTTGGATGCTGAGACCGGCAGCAGCCATCGCCCTGACCTGAGTAGAAAGCAATGTCATCAAACTGATTAGTTACAAGCCACTTGTCGAGCCAAGGAACCCAAACAGATACTCCGGTGATTTGAAAGTGATGATGTAGAGCACCTTAGTTCGGCACAGGAGTGGTTCGTACATGCGTCGATGTACGTGATGCTGAGAGGCTCACACTAGTCTGTGCGATGGAGACCGGAATCACCAACAGCAGCGGCACCCACATGTTCACCTCGAGAACATCAAGTCTGGAGTGCTTATTGCCTGCTCGCCGACACAGAACTCACCCAGTATGGCTAATTCGTGCAGGGAGCGTGATGAACCGCACACATCAGGACCAGGCTAAAGCAGCTTGGCGTCCTGAGCTCGGAAAGACGGAATCTCCTGTCGGAAGCCAGTAAACAGCAGACTGTCGCTAAGAGTCAGGGTAGCCATATGACCAGCATCAGCGTCCGTGTCGGCCCTGCTCCTGCTGAATGAGGAGATGACCTTGAAATTGCTGGTTACTGCTGGTTTATCAGCTGAAGGCTCGTAGCTGCCAGTCCCCGGCTGCTCCAGAAAGCCAACGAAAGCCAAAGCACATCAAAGGTGCTCGCTGCCTCGTTGTCCCTGTTGTCCCTCGGAGGCGGCATTAGGTTTGATCCCAGCTCGATATTGTCGGGCACGTGGCTGCCCTCCATCTGGCTGAGCTGGATGTCCCTCCGGAACAAAACGTGGCAAAGCAAAGACGTCTCAAAAGACCTTACAACGCTGCATGAAATTTTTGGCCTCGTGAGCCGGCTGCCATGACGACTGCTGTTCCGTGCTCTCTCGATGAAGAGATGCAGAGGCAAGACGTCCGATGGCTCTGTTGTCATCGCTTTGATCGAACACGGAAGCGCATGGCGAGATCTGATGTTCTGCGAGAAAGCAGTCTACCATGGACTTTTCCTGCGCAGCCTCTGAAAGATGCGTACTAAAGAGAAGGACTGGCACAAGGAACTGTTTCCGCTCAGGCGATGACATGCACAGAAACTACAACTGAACATGCTCTTGGCCAAAAGCAGATCCAGGGAGTCGGCGATCGCCGGAACCAGATTTACTTCTACGGTTACTCAGGACATGTCAAAGGATGGACCCGTGCAGAGAGACGCCATGGAACAGCGACTTTTGCGCTAGCTCTTCAAGTCTTCGAGCAGCCATCCAAGTGCTGCTTCCAGAGACTTCTCAAGTAGCCCTCATCCTGGAAAAGATGCTCCTTGAGGAGAAAGTGCCTTGTTGCGTTCAGCGCCCACACACCGCGTGGGACCGCTTCGTTGGTAGAAAGTGGGCCAAGGCGCGTCTGCGCAGCTTTATCGTCGAAGCTCACCACAGTGATGGCCTCGGCCATTGTCTTGATCCCAACCTCGTCGAGTGCCTCCTGACCGCAGTTCCGGAACTGAGACAAACAGTGGGGGAAGCAGCAGAATCAGAAGACTGTAAAAGCTCCGGCACTGACTATCGTTCACTTTCTCAGCGCTCTCTGGACACTGTCACTGTTTGTGGGGGGCCGCAATGCTCGCAACACGCAACAAGCGCGCCTGATATCGCACGGCTTCAACCGCGCTGGACACAGGCTTGAACTCCTGGCGCAGGAGGATAGCATAACTCGCAAAAAGAAAAACTAAATCCTCCATTGATAAGCTACACTGGCTACACCATCCCAAGACTCTCTCACCTTGGCTGGCTTCAGCTTGCTGCTGAAGACCGTGATGCACGGCGACATCTCGTCAGGACTCTTCAGGTATCGCAAGATCCTGTCTCAAGAGAGTCGCTTCTGCTGAATTATTTTGGCGGAACCCCAGCCGAACCTGAAGGCAAACTATCCCCGCTCCTCTCTGCCATCTCTGGGGTGTTCGGGGCATATGTGACTGCGCTGAGGTGCCCAGCAGGCTTCAGGTGGTCTGCCACGCCTTGCATAATTGCCTGACAGCTCAATCCACTCAACTTCACAGTACCACCGCACCTGCTTGATCAAAGCAGTGGCCTCCAAGATATCTTCCCCGAAATCACCTGCAAACTAACTAATCAGGATCATGTCATAAAGAGACTTCATGTTCCCGAGGAACGGTTGAACCAAGCTGCCCTCAAAAAGCAGAAGTGAATGCGTGCTTGGGCCTGCCATTTTGAACTAATCTCGTACGAACGAAGCAACCGGCTTTCAGAAGCTGATTCAGCCAAACACGACACACTGCGACCCAGAATGGTCAGCCTCCGTCCCCAAATTTCGCCGAACACTGCGAGCCGATGCCGCGCGGGTTCGGGAGGAAGGGCGGATTGGCCAAGATGGCCTTAAGAAAGCAGGGCTTTTCCCTGAGAACTGTTTTATAGCTGAGCGTGGTCTTGAGGGATGTGCACCAGCGCATCAAAAGGCTTAGTTATCGCCGCATTTGCTCTCATGGGCAATGCAGTGACACCAGAACTGTGCTATTGCTCAACCCAGTGTCATCAAAGGGCCCAGATTCTGGAGGCAGCGCCTGGTATAGATTGCCTTCGTAGATGCCAGAAACTTTCTGCGAAAGGCCATTCAAAGCGACGTTGAAGCCTGAAGACGATGGGCTTGCGCCATCAGGCATTGTTGTTGATACACATGGTCTTTGTCGTTTCTGTAGAAGGCGAGCTGCGCACAAAGTCCAGAGCGCGAGGATTCAAGTCAACGAAGGTTGCGGTTTCGGCGTAATTTTGCAGGGCTACTAGCCCTTGGACGCCGCTGCCAGTGCAGAGGTCCAGCCTGGACTTTTGTTCGTTAGGGACCCCTTCGCAGTTTTTCTGCGCATGGCACCACCCGGTATGGTACATGTTATCTACCTTACGTGATCATCGTAGGTAGTATCTCATCCCGCAGCCGATGTTAAAAGGATAGACACAAAGGCAACTGTTATGAAGAACAATCCAACGAATATGGATGAAAATCTAGTTTATGTTGATTGTGTATACCCAGATTTGTATACAATGAAACAGAAGAAGGAAGCACACCATAAGAGTGTGGAAATGATAGTAATTCGTAACGGCGTAACTTATATAATGCTGAAGGAACCAGTCCAAGTTCTCACAGTCTCAAAGGGCAAAGACTGATAGCAATGCCAGTAACCGTAGCTATGATATTACCTGTAGTTGATTCTGGACCAAATAGCGAAACAAATCCGACCGTTACGACCGTTGCAAGAAAATGCTAGTGATGCCAACAAATCGTTTCAACCGTAGGTATTGCGCTGGTAATTTGTGTTGATTACCCCTTGACTGTTTGTTTTGATTGTTTCGGTCGTAGACGGGACACGCATGTAGAGACATGACATATATAGAGAGGGGAGTGCTGCTAACGAACCGTCGCATTCGAAACATGTAGCCACCTAAGTATGAAATAAATGGACTCTGAAAGCGAGTACCCCAAACCCCAACCCAAATCCTGGGACATTTGGATAGATGCGGAGGAAACTGTTCCTAATAGATGGTGGGGTGAGTGATGCCTAAAGCCGAAAAACGGCGAGAGGGGTCCTAACCATGGAAGCTTCGGTTTGCAATGATTGTCTTATCAGGCTCTTATTTTCTGCTGCAGGCTGGGCGGCACTGAGTCCACTTGTTCTCGTGGCGCTCCATAAATGAGCCCCCAGGAGTCGTCCGAAAGGTACATCACTGGCTCAAATCCCTGAAACGCCGTTCACACTACATGGGCTGCGCAGAGGTGCTATCTTCTTCGGTGCTGCATCTGCTGCTCTGCAAGCTGCTTTCTGCTTTCGACACTTGTGCCAGCCCTGCTGATTTGGAAGTAGCATGCCGGCCTGAGACGGCCAGGTTTGCCGATCCGTGGCAATGAGAAGGTCCTATGCAGCGTCGTAGCATGCCGGCTGTCTACGCCAAAAACCATCGCCGTAACACACCTCCACTGGCCAAATCTTGATGTTCGCAAAGCAGTAGAAATCATCTGAGGGATTCTCCAAAGCCTTCAGCGCGTCGTCTGCCTGCCCAGAAGGCCCGGTACTGTAAGGCTTTGTGCAGCCATTCACAGCCACCAGGGATGCAAATCAGTGTTAAAAGCATGGCTTCGAAGTCAAGCAGTTCGCTGATCTAATCCACGCCTTGACCAGGGCACAGGAGGGGCCACGGATCACGGTGACGGCTTGCTTCTCTAGAAGGAACCTGACACAATCAACAGCCAAGATTGGGCGGGCTCGGATGCTAAGGGAAAGCTGAACGTCGTGCCAAAAATTGTAGAGATTTCGTTCCCGGTGCCGTCACAGAACTAGCAGCTGATGCCTGCTGCCTCTGCTTACAGATGAATCTGAGACAGATCCCCGTTTAGTGATCAGCTTAGGTTTTCCGGGTCCGACAGTAGCGCAGGCCAGGCGGCTCCATACAGGTGGAGCCCAGTAGCTCTGTCAGCTGCTTGAGCGGCACAGGCCTGCTCAAAAGGAAGAACCTTAGGCACGGACTCGTCGGGATGTACTGTGCAGCAATTGCGGGCAGTCTGCAGGCGGCCGGGTGGAAACGATCGCTCTACAACTTTCATCAATTTTCCATGTCCGGCCCAGTCTCAACCTAGTCCATCCTGATTCCTGAAGGACCGAATATGGCAGGAACAGCAGCCAAGTTGCCGCACAAGCTCTGCAAGTCCCGGCTTTCCTCGCGGTGCACTGGCCAGCAAAGCATCAGCTGCTTGCCCGCACAGGTCGTCGTCGGCGAACATCTCAAGGGTCGGGACCTTCAAGAACCCCGCAAGCCCGGCTGTACGGAAGACACGGGCTTCTGAGCCATGGCAGCCATGGTGGAAGGAGGGGGGAGTGACATAGCCGTAGCAGAGCGACACGAACACGAAGGCTCTGTTCCCACACAGTGCGCTCTGTAGCCAGCGAGGTTTGTTACTTCGGCATTGCCGAATGCATGACATGTCGCTCAACCCTGTGACCTGCATGTAGTCTGGTCGATACGGACGGAGGAAGGCTCTTCCCGGCCTGAGTCATGCCCAGTATGTCCTTTGCAGCATATCCACAGGTCCGAAGCCCTTCGCGGAGCGCCTGCCCAAGGTGCGAAGCAACGCTTATAGACCCCAGAGTGTGCAAAGGCTGCAAAGGTAACGCCTGCGGCGACCTGACTCGCAAGGCCCGCAGTCCACATGCGGCTCTCGGACATGTGATTCCGGTGCAAACACTCAATCCGAGGGCTTGCCTGCAAGCGTTCCACATGCTCGCTGTTCGAGATATCAACGCCTGGCACGTAGATCGAGTACAAAGAAGATGCCGACAAAAGCAAACTCCCTGGCCGCAAGTACTTGTAGCGAAACACCAGCACAGAAAGGGAATTGAACTAACATGTCTCAACATCAGCGAACAGTGCACCAAGAGACTGTGTTCTTGGGCCCTGAATTCCTGGAACTGTCACACCTAGGGCCTAGTCTTTGTCCGAAGACGGCATTGGAAGCCTTGCATGTGACCCGGCTCTCGGAGCATCTGGCTCATGGCCTGGCCACAGTTCCAGATGACTCCCCCAAGACCCAAGGCATGAGGGAACTGATACGGCCACATGCTGCAATCAGGCTGCTGTGCTGCGGCACAGGTTCTGCAGCCAATGCCTTCCGTGAGGGCGTCAAGTTGAAGCGACATCCCGACATGTGGATAAACTCGGCAAGATGCTTAGCCGCAGCGCCCTCTGAACCCACGAACTGCTGCGTGGCCAGCATGGTGGGAAGCGCACGCTGCAGCAGTTCGTACGCCTCTGTCGGAGCTTGTGAGACTGTCACAGCACCGGGGTCAAAGCGCACCAGCCTCGGAGTGCTGGAACAGCCGAATGCGGAGGAGTGCGATTCCAAGAAGCCTCCACGCATGCTCTCTGACCACTCCTGCACCGACCGAAAATATTCCCGACGAACAACGACGAGGTTCGTCCACACGAGCGACTGTCAATCCTTTCTGCGCCTGCTGGCGAAGGCGCCCACTTCTGGAGAGCTTGGCTGATCAAATCCAGCAGCCTGGGCCGTGCGGACCTCGAATCGCAGAACTGCACACCAAAATATTTGGGCTCGTGGTAGCGCTCTGCCTCCCACTCCTTCTGCGCCACCTCCAGCTCAAGCAGAGCACGTGCAGCGCGATAGTACCCAGCCACAACGGGATCTGCACCTCATCTGCTGCGAGCATACCATGAGATGCTACAAACAATGCCGTACATGCCTGATGCAGGATGCAGAATGGCAGGTAGGGTTGCCGCTTGGAATCTGTGGTATTGCTTGGATCTCTGCCGGATCCCCAAATTCCAAGGTCCGCATGGCTTCTCGAATCGCGACCTGGCAATCCATGGCCACCGCGGCGAGGGCCGTGCTGAGTCCTCGCCCAGCAGGCACCTCCTCATCTGCCAGCGGCTGCAGGCGCTCTGCCTCTCAGGCGTTCAGTTCTCCGGCCTGACTGTTGAAAGCTCACGCTCGCCTCGCCAAGCTCGACAGCATCCCATTTGCCACGGAGCACCTCCAGAGCCTCGGATGCCTGCAGAAAGAAGGCTCCTATGGATTCAACAGCCGGCCGAAATTGGCAACAAACATGCGCGCGCGCGCGCGCCCCGCTCCCCTCGCGCGGCGGACCGCGAAGCGTTTGCGATTTAGTGCAGTGCGGTGCCTGCTGTTTGCACCGCCGACTCTCAATCTCCCCACGTTCCGGGGGGGCGCGAGCACTGTACACTTGCAGTCACTTGCACTTGCACAGTGCACCGCGGAGCTCCAGCCTCGGTGAGTTGTTCGACCAGCGCAGAACGAGCAAGTCGGCACCGAGCGGACCGCCTGGCGATGCGGAAACTCTCAGAGCCCTCGCAGAGACGTCGCAGGCCTGACATGCGCGCTGCAGAAGCTAGCAGCGGCAGCACCCGATGCCCCCACAACTCGATTGCACCTGCAGAGGTTTACAGTTTACAGCACCGCGCTAAAGGGCTCTCACGGGTCTCTCTTCTCGCTAATATGTTTGCGGCTTCAGGACACAAGCCACACTTGCCGCCAGGAACAGATACGAGAAATGCAGATGGCAGCTCGACATCGGCATGTTCCGTTCTCCGACATCCCTCACCGAATTTGCTCCCGTGATACAGTGGGCGTGGCTAGCACCGCATGCAGCGTCTGTGCACTTGTGTCAACCACAACTTTTGCCAAGCACGACAATTGACTCCATGGCTTTGCAGCCGAGCCATCACAGTGTCCGAGTCCCAGCATCCCCCAGGCTCTCCGGTGCCTCGACCAGCTCCAGCCCAGGTACCTTCGTCCAGGCTTCTCTGGCACTGGCCTTCGCAGCTCTCCTCGGCCATCCAGGGCAACATATTTCAGAATTTTAACGATTTGTGAGCGAAACAAAAAAGCAAAGCGAGCTCCACCACAAGACAGGAAGCTTCTCGGCACGACTGGGCGTGGCCCGTCCCATGCAGAGTTGCGTGGGCAATGCATGGCACTGATTGACAGCATCCCAGTCCCAGTCTGATGAAAGCAATCAAACTCCCATGCACCGGCAAGGAACAGATTGTCGTCTTCATGTGGCAGGCTGTGTTTACATGCACCCTGTGTGAGCCAGACTGGGTCTGCTCGATGACGACAGCTGCTGTCGTGCCAGATCTGAAATGCCCTGCGTGAGTTGTCGGCGTACAAACTGACGCTTTTCGCTTATGCTAGAAGCTACAACTCTTACATGTTCATGTTCATTCATGCTGCCCGATCAAAATCACAGCCACCACAACAACCCCACCACAGACTTTTGCTTTTGCAGCTCTTGATTTCCTGCTGCGCTGTCTTGCAATGCACTGGACGACTTGCCCAGCTACACTGGCTTATTGCAGCTCTCGCAGCAGAGCGAACCGCCAAAGATCCAGATTACTTTCTGGAAATGCTGGTTTCTCCTGCGTGGCTTGACTCGATGTGTTAGGAAGCCCGGATCCTGAGCAGCACTCCACAAATGAAGTTTCCTAAGACAGTGACCGGTGACCTAGTGAGTGCTTGTGCAGTGAAACAGAAGACTCACAATGTGGACGGTCCGAATCCAAGACCGCATACTGCAAGGCCTTGCTGCCATTGGTCTCTGCCTTGGGAAGAGGGAGATGGGCGCTGGGGCTTTTCCCCAGCCTGCTCGCCATGAGCCGCCTCACTGAAGCTCTGTTCAGTGCCCCAGTACGATTCATGTCGGCATGACGCCTCACTCCTTGCCCTTCAGGCTCTCCTTCAGCTCGTTGAGCTTGTCCTGCGACAGTCTTCGACCCAGATGGCGTACTGCCTCTGTTTCGGAAGAAGCCCCGGCTACCTTTGCAGTGCACAGCTGAGTCCTCGAGCTCCCAGATCTCCTCATCGGTCATCGTCTGCTTCTTCTTGCCGTCCTGTCCGTCGAATACACGACGAAACAACATAATGCCTACAAGTTGCAAGCGCAAGTGACAGGTACCCGAAAGATCATGGAAGGTCATGCATGGTACAGGCTCCCTACTGGCCATGGATCCTAAGCTCTGCTTGGGCTTGGCTCCTTGATCTTCTTCTCAATATCCTTGATGGACTTCTTCTTGTCCTTCTCGGTCATGGTGACCTCGATTACGATTGCGAGACCGAGAAGCAACCTTGCTGCAGCGCCCTGTAGGACACACGGAAGCTCGGAATAGTGTAGCACAAGAGCTACCGGCAGAAGATGACTGGCCATCAGTGGCCCAACGGCATCGTCCCGTTTGCTTTCGGGACCGGCCACTGGCGACCGGCGGTGACCCAAATTTGGACCCACCCTCTCTTGCCAGTATGAGTTCGCAGAAATCATCATTAAGCTTCTATGACATAGAGTCTATGGGCTTTGCTGGCCAGCCACGCTCTTCTTGACTTCGATCTTGTTACCGGCACCATCGAAGACCTCATCAGGGCCTCGGGCTGGAAAAGCGGGAGGCTACTGCGAGAACTATCCAAGCTGCAAGGCTCTGCAACCCGTGCCCCAGCGCAAGGACTCTCGAAGCCGCGAAAAGCCTTGCTGAAGCTCGTGCCGGGCCTTTGTTTGCATCGCCGTCATCCTTGGAGTTGTCGATAGACTCGCCCTCGATGCGCAAGCGGCCTGCCCTGTGACGTCAGAAGGCCCCAGCGAAGGGTGTTGGAAGAAGGTTCTGGGTGTCGGAGTATGTCGGAAGTGTTGGCAGCAGTGTTTAAAACACCTCTGGCAGGTAGATCCTCGTGGCTATTTAAGGAGAGGCACTGCATGATCCACTTCTCCGTGGCCACGCTGTCGCAGAACTCCTGTAACGGCCAGTCGACTTGCTCACAACCCCCCGCTCTCACTCTCCCTCCCTCTCAGGGTGGTGAGCGGGAGTCGCGAAGGAAGCTCTGCTCTTGTTCCCTACAGTAGACCACAGAAGAAATCTCCTGGCCTTGTTGTGGGAGATGATGAGGACACCGCCCTTGTAATCCTTGATGGCCAGAATCAGGGCACCTGGCAGATCGAGCAATGCACAGCACTGCACGATTGCAGTACGGTCGTTTGCAGGAGCTGTCCATCCGCAACCACAGACACACCGGCAGGTTCTGTTGCTATTCAGCTACGTAATCCTGTCTGTCAAGGCACCCAGCCCGTCGCGATCCAGGTAGTTGGTCGGCCTGATTCGGTTCTGGCTGTGTGATGCTGCGGATTCCTTCCACCATTACACTGGGGTCTAATGGCATCCGCGTGGCTCGTCAAGGATGAGAACGTGCGGATTCTGCCACATGGCAGCCGCAAGGACGATCTTCACCTTCATTCCACCACCTTCGATGTGGGAGCCCTCGAATCAAACCCAAAAGAGTTGAACCGCTTGAGGCTCGAACCCAACCGACAACACCTCTGCAGCCCCTTGAGCAAAGTGTTCTATCTGGGCAGGGCGCTGAGCTGGTTGATCTGCGTGTGGCTTGCGGACTCGGCGTCAACGCCGAAGTCTGCCTCAGCACCGGCATGGCACCACGATGACTTGGCTTTCCTGCCACTTGCTGCCAAGGCACCAAGTGCTTCTCCACACCGGGCTGGGTGAGCTGCTTCGTCATCAGTCCTGCCATGGCAGCCTGACCTCAGCGCAAGCAGAAGTCTAGCACGGTAATTAGTCTCCTATCAAAGAGATGAGCGGTTTGTTGCCAGGCAGTGGGACAGTCGTGCCGGGCTGCGCTCATCCTCACGCTGAACAAGCTTGATGTAGCCCATCTTCACCATGGTGTCCTTCTCCACCCAGGTGTTGTTGTCCATGGACTTGAACTGCCACTTCACCTGGCAAAACGGGCCGGCCGCTTGGATCACTTTGCGCCCAGGTCCAAAATTGGCGCAGCTTCAAGGCCTCATGGTCCCCTAAATCCCTATAGCCTAAAGATGCCACCAAGGCAACGCTAAGGCTTTGCCAGGGCCCACAAGTGGCCTCGTACTCGAAGGTCTTCTCCTTCTTCTTCTGGCGGCGGTTGACAACGGCATCCGGGACAACGGCACCGGCCTCGTCCTGCTTGGCCTTCCTCAGGATCGTCGCTGCTTGGCACGGACGGACGGAAGAAACTATTTATAGGCAATTCTCTAACCAACAATCCTTGCCGCGGGGCTTGGCGTCCTCCTTGGGGTCGGTGCAGCGGCGCACGTTGCCGGTGACGGAGTCGATGCACCACTTCTGAGCCCGTGCCTTCTCCTCGTCAACGGACAGGTCTTCGGTCTTGAACTCCATGCTCTCGCGGTCATCATTGCCCGCAAAGCGCCACATGATGTACTGTGTGGGAGTTTCCTGCATGTGCTTCTCCAAGTGGTGGAAGGCGTGCTGTGCCACGTATGCCATTCGCAGGCCCTGGGCCTTCCAGATGGTGCCCTCAGTGGGCAGCTGCTCTCCCACCAGCACCTTGATCGCTGTGGACTTCCCAGCGCCGTTGGCACCGATAACTGCGACTCGGCTCACCTGCGACACGGTCCTTAGTGTCTCGAGCGGGCTCAGCGAGCAGAAGCGTGACCCACACAGCAGGCAAGAGCAAGCAGGACAAGTTGTGGCAAGTTCATGAGCCAGACTTTCACATGCAAGACAAGCAAACGTCCTTTTTGGGTGTCAATGCTATGCTAGGCTCAAGCTCACGTCCATGATGGTGGGCTTGTCCTTGGTGGGGTATGTGAAGCTGACGTTGTTCATGCGCAGGATGACCTTGCTGCGGCTCTTCACACCCTCCAGTGCACCCGGCTCCGGGAACACGAACCGCATGTTGTCGTTCCTGATCTCGAAGTATGACTTCTTCTCAGGGTACTTCTCGACGAACCTGGGACCACAAGACTCGTTGCGTTTACCTTGAGCGCCCCAGCTCCAGGCACCAACGCTTGGCCAAGATGCTGGGTGAGGGTCTGGCCCTTCACGCCCTTGAAGGTCTTCAACTTCCGGTCCTGGAAATCGATGATGTGAGTGCCTTGCGTCGCTGCATGGCTGAGCACGAACACTTGCAGGAGCACAGATTGCACAAACCCTCGCACTGACGCCGGGGTGCACATCTTGTCCAGGAATGGGCTGAAATGGGAGGTGCAAATGATGCTGCCATCGAAGGACTCCAGCCAGTCTTCCAGCCACCTGGTGTGCAGTGCCCTCGACGGCAAGGCACTTCCCTCGATGCTCGACCAAGGCACCAGACCCCGAAACAAAACCCCCCTGAACTTAATCTGTGAAGTCGGGCAGCGAAGGCAGCATTACAAGAGCAGGCTAAAACGCTGGTGAGGCCGATGATTTTGAAGGTTGGGGCAAGCTTGTTGAGGCTTGTGATTGCGAGGCAGACAAAGCGCAGCAACCTTTAGCAGATCGCCTCCTCGTCACTGCAGTGAAAGCGGATCACCTACGGCAACCAGAGGCCTAGAGGCCCCAGGGAGTGGAGGCCCATGCTGAAAGCTGACTCCCTGAAAACATGATCGTTATTGACATCGCTGTCGTCGTCACCACCATCGCTAGCATCACCATTAACATGGTCGTTATCGTTGTCTTCAGAACCATCGTCAGAAGCGTTGTCATGATCATGGTTGTCATCATTGCTATCATCGTCGGTAACATGGTCGCCACCGTCAGCAGCATCGTTATCATCATGGTTGTCACCACCGTCATCAGCATCGTCATCATCATCGTAATCACCATCGCTAGCAGCTAGCATCATCGTCGTCATCACCAACATCAGCATCATCTTTATCGGTGAGCGGCGGGTTTTTCGGGGTCTGGGACCTTGGCCAAGGCACTTGATGTTGTCGACGTCCAGATGGCCAGTCGGCTCGTCCAACATGAGCACCTCAGCGGCATTCATGAATCATGGCCAGTCTGAACGAACGCCCTGTCGAAAAGAGGAGGTGGAGAGTACCAGTAGAAGAAGAAAGGGAGGGGGCCGAGTAATCAAAAACCGGACTGTCGAGGCCCAGCACGTCAGCGTTCATCAGCTGCGCAGCGCAAAGCTGCATCTTCATCTTCCAGCCGCCGGAGTAGGAAGTCACTGGCCTCATGCTCCGCAAGCTTGCATTTAAAAGGCGCACCCGTCGCCGCAAAATGCCAACAATCATGGACGGCTACCTCGCGGACCGTCCCACAACTGCAGCCCACGACACAGCTCCAAATTGGCGGCACGGTCGGGGCCACCCGGGTAGCCGAAGCCGATGGACTTCATAAGCTCCTTCACCTCAGCCCGAAAATCTACAGCTTTCAAGCAAATGCGAATCTGCCCGGACCTGCTGCGCCATGCTTCGCCGAGGCGCCGTGTCCTCCTTGACGGGAGGGTCCAGCTTGTAGATGTCGTTGCCTGGCACTCGCGGAGTGGGGTAAAGCACAAAGATTTACGACCCCCAGTTCAACACAGGTCCTGGCCCTAGACACGTCCCTTCCACTCAAGACATGTTGCAGGTGTGGACGACCCACCACCATCCGGGCTTGTCCACTGAGAGGATGGGGAAACCTAGACGCCCAGCGAAGATGCGCAGCACTCCACAAGAGTTGAGATCCCAAACAAGCGATGCAGCATGCTCGGCCCGCCGCCATCATCCTGGACTCCCACCTCCTCGTCTTCGATCCTCAGAAAGCAAAGCTGTCGAAAGCCTACTATGCCACGTTGACATTGACATGAGGCTGGCTAACAACAGGACACTGTAGGCATCGCTCCGAGCCGCTGCACTAAGAGGCCTTTGCTGGCCCAGGCGCTCGTGCTCGACGAAGACACTCTTGAGCTCATCACGCTTGGGGAAGCCCTGTCAGGTCATCCGAGTAGTTTTTGGAGGGCTGCTACACGCCGGCGCCACGCACTGCACGAGCGGAGTCTACTGCACATACTTCTGCACACTGTCACGCTGTGCCTCCAGCTGCTCGTTGGCAATGGCGCGCATGAGTGTTGTCTTGCCGCACTGGTTGGGTCCAAGCAGGCCATAGAAACGGTTGCGCTTGAGATGCATCTTCGCATCGCGCAGCAAGGTCAGCGTGCCGTAGGCGAGGGAGAAAGCACCCTTGTACAGGTCCACGCCCTCGGTGTCCTCCTCCTCGACCTCCTCCTTCGGCTTGGCTGCGATCTCCATCTTGGCACGGAGCGCCTCAGTGATGGAGTCAAACGGCGCCAGGTAGCCGACGTCGCTCTTCCAGAGGGCATCGTCGAAGACGCGCATGTTGGCTGCGCATGCGGCCAGGGCGGAAACATGCGTCAGCTCGGCGTCGAAGACGTCTCCGGAGCCTGCGCTGCTACCGAGGGCCTCCGACACCTGCTTCTTGGCATCCTCGAGCTTCATCTGCTGAAGAGACTCAGCACCTCGGCTGCGCACATCACAGAAAGCATTGAGTGCAAGAAACCCCTCAGTGGCCACCTTCTCCGGCAGCCTTCTGCAGAGTCTTGTAGGCTTTTTCAGCCACACCTGAGAGACCAGCGCTTCTCAACTCGATAGGCCTATGCTGCCCCGAGTATGTTCCCATGCCTCGTGCTTCAGGATCGGAGATCTTCTCCGTCGCGCTCTTGACCAGGGGTTCGAGCTTGGGCATCAGCGGCAGCACCTACAGCATCCTACCCGTCCTACCCACTTGATTCCAGCTTTAGCAGTAGCAGGCTTGGCGAAGGACCTCTGCAGGATCCTCGACGAGCTTGCACATGTTGTCCACGATCTGGCAGCACGTGCGCTTCACCTGCTGGGCATGTTTCAACATGGTCTGCGGATGCATTAGGGCCATCATTAGGGCAAATCCCCCCTCACTTCACGGGGACGGCCTCCTCGTTCTTGTCATTCAGGCCGCGCGTCAGCACGGGCATGGTGACCTGCGTCATGTTCTGACGATCACAGAATTTCGGTGAAGAGTCATTCATGGCTGCCACTTTGTTTGCAACAGCTCGTGCAACGCGTCGCAACTCTGGGCTCACGGCCGCCAAAGCCGGGGCTTCCACGTTCTGCACGAAGATGCCTTGGGCTCGGAAACTTGACACAACCGGAGGCCCTCAGCTGTGCGAGTGCGAGGCCAAGCGGCATCCGGCAAGTTTTTCCACGCAGGCGTGGGTCTTGTCGATGGAGGAGGCAGCATCTACCACAGCTGGCAGGAAGGGCTCCAAGTCCTGTGCCGAGCCCGTGACGTAAGGGCATATATCTAAACGCACTTCTGCCTGTAAATATGCCCTGTGATGGCACCAGTGTCCTTGTTGCCGGTGCATCCGCAGATGGCGGTCATGCACTCCAGCGCTGCGGTCTTCACCTGTTGCAAGAGGGGTCAGTAGCTAAGTCAGTGAGAAGGTGTTTGCCACCTCCTTCTTGATGTCGCAGGTGAGATCAGCCACCGGAGCCACCAAGTTCACCAGCAGGTAGCCTCAATGAAAAAATACACATGCCGCTCCTGTCGGATGGCTCGTAGACCTCATACTCATACTGACTCACACTTGATTCCCGGTGCGTATCTGGCGAGTGGCCCACGGCGCGGGGAGCTTTGGCAGCCAGGGCAGAAATGATTTGCAGGGTGGCCTCCTTCTGGGTGGGCTTCGCCTGCAGCAGGTGTTCAGGGCAAGTCTGTGGCCGATACGAGCATCTTGCAGAAGTTGAGCGACCGGCCTTGACCGCCAGCCCACTAAGGAAGGAGGGCAGCAGGAGCTCCACGGCAAAGGGAGAGACCATCTCCATGATGACCTGAGACGTGAGAATGCCGTCTGCAGCTGCACTCGTCGCGCCACCGTCACACCCCGTTTGGGGAAACCGTGGCTGGCCTTGCTGGTTGCGACAGCGGCATCCTTCACGTTCTTGGACTTGTCATTCGACGCCTCTGCGGGGTATCTCCTGCCCTTCCGGCATCTGAAACACGGGCAGCACGCAGCACAAACCTCCAGGATCTTGGGGAAGGCGGCCACCAAGAAGGGTTCGGCCGGACGCCCCTTGTCCTGCGGAGCCAAAGAGGTGCAGATGCACGACATCACAATGCAGAGGGCCGCAGCATTCAGTGTACTCCTGTCCTTTGCGATTGCAGCCAAACCTTCCAGGGCGGACTGTCCGGCTGCCTGGAAGCTTTTTCAAAGAGCTTAAACACTTCACCTGTTTGGGCCTCTCTTCGGGCATCCGGGGCTTGTAGATAGAGGATACCAGGAGCCTTGTCGGAGATCTTGGCCACGAGGCCCTCCACCTCTGCCTTCAACTCCGCGGCCATTGCTTCACGCGGAGAACAAAACACTCGAAGGGAGGCTCTGAAGGGGAAAAACAGCTGCCAGAACCCAAGCTTTCGGAGCAGGAGTGCCTGCCTACAGCTCGAAGCAGTTTGTCCCGCACCCTGCAGATGCAACCACACACCTTTCTCGCAGCTCTCGATTTCTTGCCAAGCTGTCTTGCAATGCACCGGGCGAGTTGCCCAGCTACACTGGCTTATTGCAGCTCCCGCAGCAGAATGAACCGCCAAAGATCCGGCTTGTGCGAGAAGTTTTGGGCTTGACCGCATAAGTTCGAAAGCAGGATCCGTGGCAGCACTCCTCAATCGAGCAGCGCTGCCCAAGACAAGGACCAGGCCCCGATCAACTTTCAAGTCTTGCGCTCGGTAGCCGAGAGACCGAGAGAATCAACGGACAACTGCAGACAGGCCTTCAGCATGCAGTATGCAGAGTCTCTGCCTTGGGAAGCTACTTCGGGAGGGAGATGGGCGCTGGGGCTTTTCCCCAGCCCGCTCGCCATGAGCCGCCTCACTGAAGCTCTGTTCAGTGCCCCAGTACGATTCATGTCGGCGTGACGCCTCACTCCTTGCCCTTCAGGCTCTCCTTCAGCTCGTTGAGCTTGTCCTGCGACAGTCTTCGACCCAGATGGCGTACTGCCTCTGTTTCGGAAGAAGCCCCGGCTACCTTTGCAGTGCACAGCTGAGTCCTCGAGCTCCCAGATCTCCTCATCGGTCATCGTCTGCTTCTTCTTGCCGTCCTGTCCGTCGAATACACGACAAAACAACATAATGCCTACAAGTTGCAAGCGCAAGTGACAGGTACCCGAAAGATCATGGAAGGTCATGCATGGTACAGGCTCCCTACTGGCCATGGATCCTAAGCTCTGCGTGGGCTTGGCTCCTTGATCTTCTTCTCAATATCCTTGATGGACTTCTTCTTGTCCTTCTCGGTCATGGTGACCTCGATTACGATTGCGAGACCGAGAAGCAACCTTGCTGCAGCGCCCTGTAGGACACGGAAGCTCGGAATAGTGTAGCACAAGAGCTACCCGCAGAAGATGACTGGCCATCAGTGGCCCAACGGCATCGTCTCCGTTTGCTTTCAGGACCCCTGCAACTTCGCCTCCAAAAACAGCAGGTGGCCACTGGCGACCGGCGGTGACCCAAATTTGGACCCACCCTCTCTTGCCAGTATGAGGAGTTCGCAGAAATCATCATTAAGCTTCTATGACATAGAGTCTATGGGCTTTGCTGGCCAGCCACGCTCTTCTTGACTTCGATCTTGTTGCCGGCACCATCGAAGACCTCATCAGGGCCTCGGGCTGGAAAAGCGGGAGGCTACTGCGAGAACTATCCAAGCTGCAAGGCTCTGCAACCCGTGCCCCAGTGCTCCAGCGCAAGGACTCTCGAAGCCGCGAAAAGCCTTGCTGAAGCTCGTGCCGGGCCTTTGTTTGCATCGCCGTCATCCTTGGAGTTGTCGATAGACTCGCCCTCGATGCGCAAGCGGCCTGCCCTGTGACGTCAGAAGGCCCCAGCGGAGGGTGTTGGAAGAAGGTTCTGAGTGTCGGAGTATGTCGGAAGTGTTGGCAGCAGTGTTTAAAACACCTCTGGCAGGTAGGTTGCATTTCTTCCGTGAGCAATGTTATCCTCGTGGCTATTTAAGGAGAGGCACTGCATGATCCACTTCTCCGTGGCCACGCTGTCGCAGAACTCCTGGAACGGCCAGTCGACTTGCTCACAGCCCCCCGCTCTCACTTTCCCTCCCTCTCAGGGTGGTGAGCGGGAGTCGCGAAGGAAGCTCTGCTCTTGTTCACAACAGTAGACCACAGAAGAAATCTCCTGGCCTTGTTGTGGGAGATGATGAGGACACCGCCCTTGTAATCCTTGATGGCCAGAATCAGGGCACCTGGCAGATCGAGCAATGCACAGCACTGCACGATTGCAGTACGGTCGTTTGCAGGAACTGTCCATCCGCAACCACAGACACACCGGCAGGTTCTGTTGCTAGTCAGCTACGTAATCCTGTCTGTCAAGGCACCCAGCCCGTCGCGATCCAGGTAGTTGGTCGGCCTGATTCGGAGTCATACCGCTTCTGGCTGTGTGATGCTGCGGATTCCTTCCACCATTACACTGGGGTCTAATGGCATCCGCGTGGCTCGTCAAGGATGAGAACGTGCGGATTCTGCCACATGGCAGCCGCAAGGACGATCTTCACCTTCATTCCACCACCTTCGATGCGGGAGCCCTCGAATCAAACCCAAAAGAGTTGAAGCGTTTGAGGCTCGAACCCAACCGACAAACCCAACCGACAACACCTCTGCAGCCCCTTGAGCAAAGTGTTCTATCTGGGCAGGGCGCTGAGCTGGTTGATCTGCGTGTGGCTTGCGGACTCGGCGTCAACGCCGAAGTCTGCCTCAGCACCGGCATGGCACCACGATGACTTGGCTTTCCTGCCACTTGCTGCCAAGGCACCAAGTGCTTCTCCACACCGGGCTGGGTGAGCTGCTTCGTCATCAGTCCTGCCATGGCAGCCTGACCTCAGCGCAAGCAGAAGTCTAGCACGGTAATTAGTCTCCTATCAAAGAGATGAGCGGTTTGTTGCCAGGCAGTGGGACAGTCGTGCCGGGCTGCGCTCATCCTCACGCTGAACAAGCTTGATGTAGCCCATCTTCACCATGGTGTCCTTCTCCACCCAGGTGTTGTTGTCCATGGACTTGAACTGCCACTTCACCTGGCAAAACGCGCCGGCCGCTTGGATCACTTTGCGCCCAGGTCCAAAATTGGCGCAGCTTCAAGGCCTCATGGTCCCCTAAATCCCTATAGCCTAAAGATGCCACCAAGGCAACGCTAAGGCTTTGCCAGGGCCCACAAGTGGCCTCGTACTCGAAGGTCTTCTCCTTCTTCTTCTGGCGGCGGTTGACAACGGCATCCGGGACAACGGCACCGGCCTCGTCCTGCTTGGCCTTCCTCAGGATCGTCGCTGCTTGGCACGGACGGACGGAAGAAACTATTTATAGGCAATTCTCTAACCAACAATCCTTGCCGCGGGGCTTGGCGTCCTCCTTGGGGTCGGTGCAGCGGCGCACGTTGCCGGTGACGGAGTCGATGCACCACTTCTGAGCCCGTGCCTTCTCCTCGTCAACGGACAGGTCTTCGGTCTTGAACTCCATGCTCTCGCGGTCATCATTGCCCGCAAAGCGCCACATGATGTACTGTGTGGGAGTTTCCTGCATGTGCTTCTCCAAGTGGTGGAAGGCGTGCTGTGCCACGTATGCCATTCGCAGGCCCTGGGCCTTCCAGATGGTGCCCTCAGTGGGCAGCTGCTCTCCCACCAGCACCTTGATCGCTGTGGACTTCCCAGCGCCGTTGGCACCGATAACTGCGACTCGGCTCACCTGCGACACGGTCCTTGGTGTCTCGAGCGGGCTCAGCAAGCAGAAGGGTGACCGCGTGACCCAGCACAGCAGGCAAGAGCAAGCAGGGCAAGTTGCGGAAAGTTCATCAGCTAGACTTTCACATGCAAGACAAGCAAACGTCCCTTTTGGGTGTCAATGCTATGCTAGGCTCAAGCTCACGTCCATGATGGTGGGCTTGTCCTTGGTGGGGTATGTGAAGCTGACGTTGTTCATGCGCAGGATGACCTTGCTGCGGCTCTTCACACCCTCCAGTGCACCCGGCTCCGGGAACACGAACCGCATGTTGTCGTTCCTGATCTCGAAGTATGACTTCTTCTCAGGGTACTTCTCGACGAACCTGGGACCACAAGACTCGTTGCGTTTACCTTGAGCGCCCCATCTCCAGGCACCAACGCTTGGCCAAGATGCTGGGTGAGGGTCTGGCCCTTCACGCCCTTGAAGGTCTTCAACTTCCGGTCCTGGAAATCGATGATGTGAGTGCCTTGCGTCGCTGCATGACTGAGCACGAACACTTGCAGGAGCACAGATTGCACAAACCCTCGCACTGGCACCGGGGTGCACATCTTGTCCAGGAATGGGCTGAAATGGGAGGTGCAAATGATGCTGCCATCGAAGGACTCCAGCCAGTCTTCCAGCCACCTGGTGTGCAGTGCACTCGACGGCAAGGCACTTCCCTCGATGCTCGACCAAGGTACCAGACCCCGAAACAAAACCGCCCTGAACTTAATCTGTGAAGTCGGGCAGCGAAGGCAGCATTACGAGAGCAGGCTAAAACGCTGGTGAGGCCGATGATTTTGAAGGTTGGGGCAAGCTTGTTGAGGCTTGTGATTGCGAGGCAGACAAAGCGCAGCAACCTTTAGCAGATCGCCTCCTCGTCACTGCAGTGAAAGCGGATCACCTACGGCAACCAGAGGCCTAGAGGCCACAGGGAGTGGAGGCCCATGCTGAAAGCTGACTCCCTGAAAACATGATCGTTATTGACATCGCTGTCTTCGTCGTCACCACCATCGCTAGCATCACCATTAACATGGTCGTTATCGTTGTCTTCAGAGCCATCGTCAGAAGCGTTGACATGATCATGGTTGTCATCATTGCTATCATGGTCGGTAACATGGTCGCCACCGTCAGCAGCATCGTTATCATCATGGTTGTCACCACCGTCATCAGCATCGTCATCATTATCGTCATCACCATCGCTAGCAGCTCGCATCATCGTCGTCATCACCAGCATCAGCATCATCTTTATCGGTGAGCGGCGGGTTTTTCGGGGTCTGGGACCTTGGCCAAGGCACTTGATGTTGTCGACGTCCAGATGGCCAGTCGGCTCGTCCAACATGAGCACCTCAGCGGCATTCATGAATCATGGCCAGTCTGAACGAACGCCCTGTCGAAAAGAGGAGGTGGAGAGTACCAGTAGAAGAAGAAAGGGAGGGGGCCGAGTAATCAAAAACCGGACTGTCGAGGCCCAGCACGTCAGCGTTCATCAGCTGCGCAGCGCAGAGCTGCATCTTCATCTTCCAGCCGCCGGAGTAGGAAGTCACTGGCCTCATGCTCCGCAAGCTTGCATTTAAAAGGCGCACCCGTCGCCGCAAAATGCCAACAATCATGGACGGCTACCTCGCGGACCGTCCCACAACTGCAGCCCACGACACAGCTCCAAATTGGCGGCACGGTCGGGGCCACCCGGGTAGCCGAAGCCGATGGACTTCATAAGCTCCTTCACCTCAGCCCGAAAATCTACAGCTTTCAGCAAATGCGAATCTGCCCGGACCTGCTGCGCCATGCTTCGCCGAGGCGCCGTGTCCTCCTTGACGGGAGGGTCCAGCTTGTAGATGTCGTTGCCTGGCACTCGCGGAGTGGGGTAAAGCACAAAGATTTACGACCCCCAGTTCAACACAGGTCCTGGCCCTAGACACGTCCCTTCCACTCAAGACATGTTGCAGGTGTGGACGACCCACCACCATCCGGGCTTGTCCACTGAGAGGATGGGGAAACCTAGACGCCCAGCGAAGATGCGCAGCACTCCACAAGAGTTGAGATCCCAAACAAGCGATGCAGCATGCTCGGCCCGCCGCCATCATCCTGGACTCCCACCTCCTCGTCTTCGATCCTCAGAAAGCAAAGCTGTCGAAAGCCTACTATGCCACGTTGACATTGACATGAGGCCTCGCTAACAACAGGACACTGTAGGCATCGCTCCGAGCCGCTGCACTAAGAGGCCTTTGCTGGCCCAGGCGCTCGTGCTCGACGAAGACACTCTTGAGCTCATCACGCTTGGGGAAGCCCTGTCAGGTCATCCGAGTAGCTTAAGGAGGGCTGCTACACGCCGGCGCCATGCACTGCACGAGCGGAGTCTACTGCACATACTTCTGCACACTGTCACGCTGTGCCTCCAGCTGCTCGTTGGCAATGGCGCGCATGAGCGTCGTCTTGCCGCACTGGTTGGGTCCAAGCAGGCCATAGAAACGGTTGCGCTTGAGATGCATCTTCGCATCGCGCAGCAAGGTCAGCGTGCCGTAGGCGAGGGAGAAAGCACCCTTGTACAGGTCCACGCCCTCGGTGTCCTCCTCCTCGACCTCCTCCTTCGGCTTGGCTGCGATCTCCATCTTGGCACGGAGCGCCTCGGTGATGGAGTCAAACGGCGCCAGGTAGCCGACGTCGCTCTTCCAGAGGGCCTCGTCGAAGACGCGCATGTTGGCTGCGCATGCGGCCAGGGCGGAAACATGCGTCAGCTCGGCGTCGAAGACGTCTCCGGAGCCTGCGCTGCTACCGAGGGCCTCCGACACCTGCTTCTTGGCATCCTCGAGCTTCATCTGCTGAAGAGACTCAGCACCTCGGCTGCGCACATCACAGAAAGCATTGAGTGCAAGAAACCCCTCAGTGGCCACCTTCTCCGGCAGCCTTCTGCAGAGTCTTGTAGGCTTTTTCAGCCACACCTGAGAGACCAGCGCTTCTCAACTCGATAGGCCTATGCTGCCCCGAGTATGTTCCCATGCCTCGTGCTTCAGGATCGGAGATCTTCTCCGTCGCGCTCTTGACCAGGGGTTCGAGCTTGGGCATCAGCGGCAGCACCTACAGCATCCTACCCGTCCTACCCACTTGATTCCAGCTTTAGCAGTAGCAGGCTTGGCGAAGGACCTCTGCAGGATCCTCGACGAGCTTGCACATGTTGTCCACGATCTGGCAGCACGTGCGCTTCACCTGCTGGGCATGTTTCAACATGGTCTGCGGATGCATTAGGGCCATCATTAGGGCAAATCCCCCCTCACTTCACGGGGACGGCCTCCTCGTTCTTGTCATTCAGGCCGCGCGTCAGCACGGGCATGGTGACCTGCGTCATGTTCTGACGATCACAGAATTTCGGTGAAGAGTCATTCATGGCTGCCACTTTGTTTGCAACAGCTCGTGCAATGCGTCGCAACTCTGGGCTCACGGCCGCCAAAGCCGGGGCTTCCACGTTCTGCACGAAGATGCCTTGGGCTCGGAAACTTGACACAACCGGAGGCCCTCAGCTGTGCGAGTGCGAGGCCAAGCGGCATCCGGCAAGTTTTTCCACGCAGGCGTGGGTCTTGTCGATGGAGGAGGCAGCATCTACCACAGCTGGCAGGAAGGGCTCCAAGTCCTGTGCCGAGCCCGTGACGTAAGGGCATATATCTAAACGCACTTTTGCCTGTAAATATGCCCTGTGATGGCACCAGTGTCCTTGTTGCCGGTGCATCCGCAGATGGCGGTCATGCACTCCAGCGCTGCGGTCTTCACCTGTTGCAAGAGGGGTCAGTAGCTAAGTCAGTGAGAAGGTGTTTGCCACCTCCTTCTTGATGTCGCAGGTGAGATCAGCCACCGGAGCCACCAAGTTCACCAGCAGGTAGCCTCAATGCAAAAATACACATGCCGCTCCTGTCGGATGGCTCGTAGACCTCATACTCATACTGACTCACACTTGATTCCCGGTCCGTATCTGGCGAGTGGCCCACGGCGCGGGGAGCTTTGGCAGCCAGGGCAGAAATGATTTGCAGGGTGGCCTCCTTCTGGGTGGGCTTCGCCTGCAGCAGGTGTTCAGGGCAAGTCTGTGGCCGATACGAGCATCTTGCAGAAGTTGAGCGACCGGCCTTGACCGCCAGCCCACTAAGGAAGGAGGGCAGCAGGAGCTCCACGGCAAAAGGAGAGACCATCTCCATGATGACCTGAGACGTGAGAATGCCGTCTGCAGCTGCACTCGTCGCGCCACCGTCACACCCCGTTTGGGGAAACCGTGGCTGGCCTTGCTGGTTGCGACAGCGGCATCCTTCACGTTCTTGGACTTGTCATTCGACGCCTCTGCGGGGTATCTCCTGCCCTTCCGGCATCTGAAACACGGGCAGCACGCAGCACAAGCCTCCAGGATCTTGGGGAAGGCGGCCACCAAGAAGGGTTCGGCCGGACGCCCCTTGTCCTGCGGAGCCAAAGAGGTGCAGATGCGCGACATCACAATGCAGAGGGCCGCAGCATTCAGTGTACTCCTGTCCTTTGCGATTGCAGCCAAACCTTCCAGGGCGGACTGTCCGGCTGCCTGGAAGCTTTTTCAAAGAGCTTAAACACTTCACCTGTTTGGGCCTCTCTTCGGGCATCCGGGGCTTGTAGATATAGGATACCAGGAGCCTTGTCGGAGATCTTGGCCACGAGGCCCTCCACCTCTGCCTTCAACTCCGCGGCCATTGCTTCACGCGGAGAACAAAACACTCGAAGGGAGGCTCCGAAGGGGAAAAACAGCTGCCAGAACCCAAGCTTTCAGAGCAGGAGTGCCTGCCTACAGCTCGAAGCAGTTTGTCCCGCACCCTGCAGATGCAACCACACACCTTTCTCGCAGCTCTCGATTTCTTGCCAAGCTGTCTTGCAATGCACCGGGCGAGTTGCCCAGCTACACTGGCTTATTGCAGCTCCCGCAGCAGAATGAACCGCCAAAGATCCGGCTTGTGCGAGAAGTTTTGGGCTTGACCGCATAAGTTCGAAAGCAGGATCCTTGGCAGCACTCCTCAATCGAGCAGAGCTGCCCAAGACAAGGACCAGGCCCCGATCAACTTTCAAGTCTTGCGCTCGGTAGCCGAGAGACCGAGAGAATCAACGGACAACTGCAGACAGGCCTTCAGCATACAGTATGCAGAGTCTCTGCCTTGGGAAGCTACTTCGGGAGGGAGATGGGCGCTGGGGCTTTTCCCCAGCCCGCTCGCCATGAGCCGCCTCACTGAAGCTCTGTTCAGTGCCCCAGTACGATTCATGTCGGCGTGACGCCTCACTCCTTGCCCTTCAGGCTCTCCTTCAGCTCGTTGAGCTTGTCCTGCGACAGTCTTCGACCCAGATGGCGTACTGCCTCTGTTTCGGAAGAAGCCCCGGCTACCTTTGCAGTGCACAGCTGAGTCCTCGAGCTCCCAGATCTCCTCATCGGTCATCGTCTGCTTCTTCTTGCCGTCCTGTCCGTCGAATACACGACAAAACAACATAATGCCTACAAGTTGCAAGTGCAAGTGACAGGTACCCGAAAGATCATGGAAGGTCATGCATGGTACAGGCTCCCTACTGGCCATGGATCCTAAGCTCTGCGTGGGCTTGGCTCCTTGATCTTCTTCTCAATATCCTTGATGGACTTCTTCTTGTCCTTCTCGGTCATGGTGACCTCGATTACGATTGCGAGACCGAGAAGCAACCTTGCTGCAGCGCCCTGTAGGACACGGAAGCTCGGAATAGTGTAGCACAAGAGCTACCGGCAGAAGAAGATGACTGGCCATCAGTGGCCCAACGGCATCGTCTCCGTTTGCTTTCGGGACCCCTGCAACTTCGCCTCCAAAAACAGGTGGCCACTGGCGACCGGCGGTGACCCAAATTTGGACCCACCCTCTCTTGCCAGTATGAGGAGTTCGCAGAAATCATCATTAAGCTTCTATGACATAGAGTCTATGGGCTTTGCTGGCCAGCCACGCTCTTCTTGACTTCGATCTTGTTGCCGGCACCATCGAAGACCTCATCAGGGCCTCGGGCTGGAAAAGCGGGAGGCTACTGGGAGAACTATCCAAGCTGCAAGGCTCTGCAACCCGTGCCCCAGCGCAAGGACTCTCGAAGCCGCGAAAAGCCTTGCTGAAGCTCGTGCCGGGCCTTTGTTTGCATCGCCGTCATCCTTGGAGTTGTCGATAGACTCGCCCTCGATGCGCAAGCGGCCTGCCCTGTGACGTCAGAAGGCCCCAGCGGAGGGTGTTGGAAGAAGGTTCTGGGTGTCGGAGTATGTCGGAAGTGTTGGCAGCAGTGTTTAAAACACCTTTGGCAGGTAGGTTGCATTTCTTCCGTGAGCAATGTTAACCAGTTGACCAACAGAGGACTATCCTCGTATTTAAGGAGAGGCACTGCATGATCCACTTCTCCGTGGCCACGCTGTCGCAGAACTCCTGGAACGGCCAGTCGACTTGCTCACAGCCCCCCGCTCTCACTTTCCCTCCCTCTCAGGGTGGTGAGCGGGAGTCGCGAAGGAAGCTCTGCTCTTGTTCACAACAGTAGACCACAGAAGAAATCTCCTGGCCTTGTTGTGGGAGATGATGAGGACACCGCCCTTGTAATCCTTGATGGCCAGAATCAGGGCACCTGGCAGATCGAGCAATGCACAGCACTGCACGATTGCAGTACGGTCGTTTGCAGGAACTGTCCATCCGCAACCACAGACACACCGGCAGGTTCTGTTGCTAGTCAGCTACGTAATCCTGTCTGTCAAGGCACCCAGCCCGTCGCGATCCAGGTAGTTGGTCGGCCTGATTCGGAGTCATACCGCTTCTGGCTGCGTGATGCTGCGGATTCCTTCCACCATTACACTGGGGTCTAATGGCATCCGCGTGGCTCGTCAAGGATGAGAACGTGCGGATTCTGCCACATGGCAGCCGCAAGGACGATCTTCACCTTCATTCCACCACCTTCGATGCGGGAGCCCTCGAATCAAACCCAAAAGAGTTGAAGCGTTTGAGGCTCGAACCCAACCGACAACACCTCTGCAGCCCCTTGAGCAAAGTGTTCTATCTGGGCAGGGCGCTGAGCTGGTTGATCTGCGTGTGGCTTGCGGACTCGGCGTCAACGCCGAAGTCTGCCTCAGCACCGGCATGGCACCACGATGACTTGGCTTTCCTGCCACTTGCTGCCAAAGCACCAAGTGCTTCTCCACACCAGGCTGGGTGAGCTGCTTCGTCATCAGTCCTGCCATGGCAGCCTGACCTCAGCGCAAGCAGAAGTCTGGCACGGTAGTCTCCTATCAAAGAGATGAGCGGTTTGTTGCCAGGCAGTGGGACAGTCGTGCCGGGCTGCGCTCATCCTCACGCTGAACAAGCTTGATGTAGCCCATCTTCACCATGGTGTCCTTCTCCACCCAGGTGTTGTTGTCCATAGACTTGAACTGCCACTTCACCTGGCAAAACGGGCCGGCCGCTTGGATCACTTTGCGCCCAGGTCCAACATTGGCGCAGAGTCACAAGGCCTCATGGTCCCTAAATCCCTAAAGATGCCACCAAGGCAACGCTAAGGCTTTGCCAGGGCCCACAAGTGGCCTCGTACTCGAAGGTCTTCTCCTTCTTCTTCTGGCGGCGGTTGACAACGGCATCCGGGACAACGGCACCGGCCTCGTCCTGCTTGGCCTTCCTCAGGATCGTCGCTGCTTGGCACGGACGGACGGAAGAAACTATTTATAGGCAATTCTCTAACCAACAATCCTTGCCGCGGGGCTTGGCGTCCTCCTTGGGGTCGGTGCAGCGGCGCACGTTGCCGGTGACGGAGTCGATGCACCACTTCTGAGCCCGTGCCTTCTCCTCGTCAACGGACAGGTCTTCGGTCTTGAACTCCATGCTCTCGCGGTCATCATTGCCCGCAAAGCGCCACATGATGTACTGTGTGGGAGTTTCCTGCATGTGCTTCTCCAAGTGGTGGAAGGCGTGCTGTGCCACGTATGCCATTCGCAGGCCCTGGGCCTTCCAGATGGTGCCCTCAGTGGGCAGCTGCTCTCCCACCAGCACCTTGATCGCTGTGGACTTCCCAGCGCCGTTGGCACCGATAACTGCGACTCGGCTCACCTGCGACACGGTCCTTGGTGTCTCGAGCGGGCTCAGCAAGCAGAAGGGTGACCGCGTGACCCAGCACAGCAGGCAAGAGCAAGCAGGGCAAGTTGCGGAAAGTTCATCAGCTAGACTTTCACATGCAAGACAAGCAAACGTCCTTTTTGGGTGTCAATGCTATGCTAGGCTCAAGCTCACGTCCATGATGGTGGGCTTGTCCTTGGTGGGGTACGTGAAGCTGACGTTGTTCATGCGCAGGATGACCTTGCTGCGGCTCTTCACACCCTCCAGTGCACCCGGCTCCGGGAACACGAACCGCATGTTGTCGTTCCTGATCTCGAAGTATGACTTCTTCTCAGGGTACTTCTCGACGAACCTGGGACCACAAGACTCGTTGCGTTTACCTTGAGCGCCCCATCTCCAGGCACCAACGCTTGGCCAAGATGCTGGGTGAGGGTCTGGCCCTTCACGCCCTTGAAGGTCTTCAACTTCCGGTCCTGGAAATCGATGATGTGAGTGCCTTGCGTCGCTGCGTGGCTGAGCACGAACACTTGCAGGAGCACAGATTGCACAAACCCTCGCACTGACGCCGGGGTGCACATCTTGTCCAGGAATGGGCTGAAATGGGAGGTGCAAATGATGCTGCCATCGAAGGACTCCAGCCAGTCTTCCAGCCACCTGGTGTGCAGTGCACTCGACGGCAAGGCACTTCCCTCGATGCTCGACCAAGGCACCAGACCCCGAAACAAAACCGCCCTGAACTTCATCTGTGAAGTCGGGCAGCGAAGGCAGCATTACGAGAGCAGGCTAAAACGCTGGTGAGGCTGATGATTTTGAAGGTTGGGGCAAGCTTGTTGAGGCTTGTGATTGCGAGGCAGACGAAGCGCAGCAACCTTTAGCAGATCGCCTCCTCGTCACTGCAGTGAAAGCGGATCACCTACGGCAACCAGGGGCCTAGAGGCCCCAGGGAGTGGAGGCCCATGCTGAAAGCTGACTCCCTGAAAACATGATCGTTATTGACATCGCTGTCGTCGTCACCACCATCGCTAGCATCACCATTAACATGGTCGTTATCGTTGTCTTCAGAACCATCGTCAGAAGCGTTGTCATGATCATGGTTGTCATCATTGCTATCATGGTCGGTAACATGGTCGCCACCGTCAGTAGCATCGTTATCATCATGGTTGTCACCACCGTCATCAGCATCGTCATCATTATCGTCATCACCATCGCTAGCAGCTAGCATCATCGTCGTCATCACCAGCATCGGCATCATCTTTATCGGTGAGCGGCGGGTTTTTCGGGGTCTGGGATCTTGGCCAAGGCACTTGATGTTGTCGACGTCCAGATGGCCAGTCGGCTCGTCCAACATGAGCACCTCAGCGGCATTCATGAATCATGGCCAGTCTGAACGAACGCCCTGTCGAAAAGAGGTGGAGAGTACCAGTAGAAGAAGAAAGGGAGGGGGCCGAGTAATCAAAAACCGGACTGTCGAGGCCCAGCACGTCAGCGTTCATCAGCTGCGCAGCGCAGAGCTGCATCTTCATCTTCCAGCCGCCGGAGTAGGAAGTCACTGGCCTCATGCTCCGCAAGCTTGCATTTAAAAGGTGCACCCGTCGCCGCAAAATGCCAACAATCATGGACGGCTACCTCGCGGACCGTCCCACAACTGCAGCCCACGACACAGCTCCAAATTGGCGGCACGGTCGGGGCCACCCGGGTAGCCGAAGCCGATGGACTTCATAAGCTCCTTCACCTCAGCCCGAAAATCTACAGCTTTCAAGCAAATGCTGCCCGGACCTGCTGCGCCATGCTTCGCCGAGGCGCCGTGTCCTCCTTGACGGGAGGGTCCAGCTTGTAGATGTCGTTGCCTGGCACTCGCGGAGTGGGGTAAAGCACAAAGATTTACGACCCCCAGTTCAACACAGGTCCTGGCCCTAGACACGTCCCTTCCACTCAAGACATGTTGCAGGTGTGGACGACCCACCACCATCCGGGCTTGTCCACTGAGAGGATGGGGAAACCTAGACGCCCAGCGAAGATGCGCAGCACTCCACAAGAGTTGAGATCCCAAACAAGCGATGCAGCATGCTCGGCCCGCCGCCATCATCCTGGACTCCCACCTCCTCGTCTTCGATCCTCAGAAAGCAAAGCTGTCGAAAGCCTACTATGCCACGTTGACATTGACATGAGGCCTCGCTAACAACAGGACACTGTAGGCATCGCTCCGAGCCGCTGCACTAAGAGGCCTTTGCTGGCCCAGGCGCTCGTGCTCGACGAAGACACTCTTGAGCTCATCACGCTTGGGGAAGCCCTGTCAGGTCATCCGAGTAGCTTAAGGAGGGCTGCTACACGCCGGCGCCATGCACTGCACGAGCGGAGTCTACTGCACATACTTCTGCACACTGTCACGCTGTGCCTCCAGCTGCTCGTTGGCAATGGCGCGCATGAGCGTCGTCTTGCCGCACTGGTTGGGTCCAAGCAGGCCATAGAAACGGTTGCGCTTGAGATGCATCTTCGCATCGCGCAGCAAGGTCAGCGTGCCGTAGGCGAGGGAGAAAGCACCCTTGTACAGGTCCACGCCCTCGGTGTCCTCCTCCTCGACCTCCTCCTTCGGCTTGGCTGCGATCTCCATCTTGGCACGGAGCGCCTCGGTGATGGAGTCAAACGGCGCCAGGTAGCCGACGTCGCTCTTCCAGAGGGCCTCGTCGAAGACGCGCATGTTGGCTGCGCATGCGGCCAGGGCGGAAACATGCGTCAGCTCGGCGTCGAAGACGTCTCCGGAGCCTGCGCTGCTACCGAGGGCCTCCGACACCTGCTTCTTGGCATCCTCGAGCTTCATCTGCTGAAGAGACTCAGCACCTCGGCTGCGCACATCACAGAAAGCATTGAGTGCAAGAAACCCCTCAGTGGCCACCTTCTCCGGCAGCCTTCTGCAGAGTCTTGTAGGCTTTTTCAGCCACACCTGAGAGACCAGCGCTTCTCAACTCGATAGGCCTATGCTGCCCCGAGTATGTTCCCATGCCTCGTGCTTCAGGATCGGAGATCTTCTCCGTCGCGCTCTTGACCAGGGGTTCGAGCTTGGGCATCAGCGGCAGCACCTACAGCATCCTACCCGTCCTACCCACTTGATTCCAGCTTTAGCAGTAGCAGGCTTGGCGAAGGACCTCTGCAGGATCCTCGACGAGCTTGCACATGTTGTCCACGATCTGGCAGCACGTGCGCTTCACCTGCTGGGCATGTTTCAACATGGTCTGCGGATGCATTAGGGCCATCATTAGGGCAAATCCCCCCTCACTTCACGGGGACGGCCTCCTCGTTCTTGTCATTCAGGCCGCGCGTCAGCACGGGCATGGTGACCTGCGTCATGTTCTGACGATCACAGAATTTCGGTGAAGAGTCATTCATGGCTGCCACTTTGTTTGCAACAGCTCGTGCAATGCGTCGCAACTCTGGGCTCACGGCCGCCAAAGCCGGGGCTTCCACGTTCTGCACGAAGATGCCTTGGGCTCGGAAACTTGACACAACCGGAGGCCCTCAGCTGTGCGAGTGCAATCCAAGCAACATCCGGCAAGTTTTTCCACGCAGGCGTGGGTCTTGTCGATGGAGGAGGCAGCATCTACCACAGCTGGCAGGAAGGGCTCCAAGTCCTGTGCCGAGCCCGTGACGTAAGGGCATATATCTAAACGCACTTTTGCCTGTAAATATGCCCTGTGATGGCACCAGTGTCCTTGTTGCCGGTGCATCCGCAGATGGCGGTCATGCACTCCAGCGCTGCGGTCTTCACCTGTTGCAAGAGGGGTCAGTAGCTAAGTCAGTGAGAAGGTGTTTGCCACCTCCTTCTTGATGTCGCAGGTGAGATCAGCCACCGGAGCCACCAAGTTCACCAGCAGGTAGCCTCAATGCAAAAATACACATGCCGCTCCTGTCGGATGGCTCGTAGACCTCATACTCATACTGACTCACACTTGATTCCCGGTCCGTATCTGGCGAGTGGCCCACGGCGCGGGGAGCTTTGGCAGCCAGGGCAGAAATGATTTGCAGGGTGGCCTCCTTCTGGGTGGGCTTCGCCTGCAGCAGGTGTTCAGGGCAAGTCTGTGGCCGATACGAGCATCTTGCAGAAGTTGAGCGACCGGCCTTGACCGCCAGCCCACTAAGGAAGGAGGGCAGCAGGAGCTCCACGGCAAAAGGAGAGACCATCTCCATGATGACCTGAGACGTGAGAATGCCGTCTGCAGCTGCACTCGTCGCGCCACCGTCACACCCCGTTTGGGGAAACCGTGGCTGGCCTTGCTGGTTGCGACAGCGGCATCCTTCACGTTCTTGGACTTGTCATTCGACGCCTCTGCGGGGTATCTCCTGCCCTTCCGGCATCTGAAACACGGGCAGCACGCAGCACAAGCCTCCAGGATCTTGGGGAAGGCGGCCACCAAGAAGGGTTCGGCCGGACGCCCCTTGTCCTGCGGAGCCAAAGAGGGTGCAGATGTGCGACATCACAATGCAGAGGGCCGCAGCATTCAGTGTACTCCTGTCCTTTGCGATTGCAGCCAAACCTTCCAGGGCGGACTGTCCGGCTGCCTGGAAGCTTTTTCAAAGAACTTAAACACTTCACCTGTTTGGGCCTCTCTTCGGGCATCCGGGGCTTGTAGATAGAGGATACCAGGAGCCTTGTCGGAGATCTTGGCCACGAGGCCCTCCACCTCTGCCTTCAACTCCGCGGCCATTGCTTCACGCGGAGAACAAAACACTCGAAGGGAGGCTCTGAAGGGGAAAAACAGCTGCACGCCATTCTTTCGTAAGCACACCGAGGCCACGAAGTTACCCCCAAGCCCTAGCGAAGGAAAAGTTCCACGAAGCAGCGAAAAGGTCCTGCGCAGTTCCAGGCTTTTACGGCGCACTCTGCACAGCTTCCTGGCTCAACCCCTTGCAGGGAACGTCAGCGAAGCAAAACGCAAACGGAGCACGTTCCAGCAGGCATGTCGTATAGAGGGTTGCGGCTATGTCCGGGTTAAGGGCCCATTCAAGCGTGCATGCCTTCGTCTGCATTATGGCTTGGGCATGAAAGTGAGCCGGACGGCTTAGTCGCCATCTCGCGACATAGCGGTGCACGGCGCAACATGAGTCGAGATCGAGCTACCAACGAATTCCTCAGCGGCATCGGGTTCGCTGCTATGCGATGCATCTTGGTGGGCTCTATTTGCCAGTCAGGCCCATGGGGCCAAGAAGCCTCACTTATCGGCTTTCACACCGGCCGCAGAGGTCGCCGTCTCCTGTGCCTTGGTTTCCTGCGACTTGAGGATTCCTCAGACAGGCAGCGGCGGCTCAGCCTTTAGAAACGCCGCACAAACATTGAAATCTCCGAGTTGCCCATCACCATGAAGGCGACCCTGAGCTGCACAAGGCTCGTAGTATTCCGCAGTCTTGACTTCTGGCCTATCTTCAATCTTCATGTCACTCTTCAGCAAAGCAGCCCATTGCCAGCAATGCCAGCAATCATCACCTGCCACTGCTTCACCAGGTAGGAGCATCGTAGAACGAAGGTGACACCGTGTGGCAACTGCAGTGGCTGTTAAACCTGAAACTGCCTCAAGAGTAGATACAGATGGTATGCTGTTTCCCAAGAAACACATCTAGACTGGAGAGTGTCTCGAGGCCTTTGTTTTCCTCCATTCGTAAAGCCGGCATCATCTCAATGCCCCCCACCCACCAGAAAAGCTGCTTCGCACACCTCGCCCCAAGGTCGACCAGGTAGCAACTCCATGCCCAGGTATATGGACAAGAACATCAGCGCGACCTTCAAAGGAGGCTCGGAAACGGCCGACAAAGACAGCAATGACATTTGGTGTGTCTAGCTGACTCCAGCTCGGACATCCGCAGACCTTGTTGAAGTTGCCAGCCATCGAAATCACGTGCGACTGAAAGCTGGAGCTGAGTGTGTATAACATGACCTGACTGCCACATGCAACGACGTGGTGAGTACTGACACCAAACACCAGTCCTTGCCCTCGTGACAGCGATGCCCAGAACACGCACAGCTCACAAACAGCAACCTCCGAAGACACTTTGATTTAAACCAGCGGCGTTGTAAAGCGTGGCGAAGAAACCCGACAGGACACCTCGCGAAATGAGGTGCTAAGCCCGTTATAAGCAGCTTTACTCCAACATGTTCCTTTTCAGCCCCTGTTATCGACACATTCGAAACAAGCCTGTAATCCCGCTTTATGCTGACTGACTTGTCTCGATAGTGCGCTATCAGAAGGCGCCTCAAATACAGAAAGGGATTTCTCCAGCGAGTGACAGATGCTGGGGCGGATTGCGGATTGCAGAACTATGTGTAGGACCACTACAGGCTTAAGAAGGGGAACTACATGCTGCTCGGGTGCTCGGTGCAAACATGATCTGAGAAGTGGATCTCAGGTGCCCTGAAGCAGATCAAACTGCTGGTCCGATCGGAAAAATTGTGCCCAAGCTGAGTCGAAGCTGTCAAGGTGCCGGGCTGTTGCACATCTTTCAAATCGGCTTCCGTTCCAGAGTTTAAACTGCGTGTGCTGGTCCATCTGTCTCTCGTGAAAGAGGCATCTCTACGATTCTACAATCGAGCTGATGAGGCTACTGCTCCGCCACTAAGTGCCGATCTAGCTAGGATTTGCTGAACTGTGTGTGTGTGTGTGTGCGTGTGTGTGTGTGTGTTTGTGTGCGCGCGCGTGCAGGGTGATGTTGCTCCGAGGTATACGCGAGTTGGCCATCTTGGCACGGAGACTGTGGCTACAGCAGGTGAGAAGCAGCCATGCATTTGTCATGCATAGCTTTCCAACTTCCTCGCTAATTGTTACTAATTGCCAGGACACCCAGGGCAACTCCCAGTTTGCTGGTCCGCCACACCGTCTGCATGACCTGTGGCCGGGGGCGGCTGGGTCAGAGCCATCAAGAAAAGCCAATCGGAGAGCAGGGATTGTGAAGAGAGAACATGGCCTCCCAGTCTGTCAGATGAGGCGATACCGGCCATGACACCTGTGGCTGCAGCTACTGTCAAGTATTTAGTGGGGTGTATCACGACAGCCAAGAACATGTCCTTGGAGACATGGAGACAAGTTGCTGAGTGTCGGAAGAAGAAGACCGGCAGCAGCAAGAGGAGAGATGCTGGCAAGGACATGTTCATGATGGCCTGAGCACCAGCCCCACCATGTGTCACTGGGCTGCACGTTGCATGCTCAGCAGCAACTGCCGAGAAGAATCACGCCTCTAGCGCATTCATCTTCAGGTGCGAGCTGAGTGTCCTTCACTTGAGATGATGCAGCACAGCCTGACCCACTAAGTTCTACAGCAACACGAAAGAACTGAAACAGAAGCATTTGCACACAGAGCCGTCAGGATTTCCAGGTTGCAACCCAACTGGCTCCTCACAACTATGAGCTCGATGCCGGATGCGACCATGGACAGGCAGCACACCTTTGTCAGTCTTCTTCCCGCAGTGGGCCCGGACCAGCGTACATGACGAGGGGCTCCAATGCCCACGTAGTAGTTCGAAGCTGAGGATGCCGAAGCAAAGCTTTGAAGCTTGCTGCATATCTCGGATTTGCAGAAAGAAGCAGAAACACCACCAATCTCGTCGACTAAGCACGGCATGACCTGCTTGCTTCTGGGACTCCACCAGTCCGGCGAAGAAGGTCCCAAGAACCGTGAGGAGCAGGTCTCGACAGTTCACTTGTGGCCAGTTTGCCTCAGAACTGAGTCTCGGATGAGGTCACGATGTTCAAGAAAACTGTTGCAATCACAGTCCACTTGCATGCTGCGTGGTATATATGGTACTGGTACGACTTGAACATGAACACGACTTACCTGCAGTGAAAATCGGACCAAGTTCCCGAAAAGCAAAAGCAAGTTTGAAGGTTTAAAGCCAACAACAAGCAAAGACGAGGCTATTCCATGTACTTGACACTTCCCCCATGCCTCCATCAAGACTGCATATCGAAACAAGAAAACTGATCGAAACAGAGAAATGCCTCTTGGCCCGTCTTGCACGCTCCAGACCGCAGGCCCCAACCCCAACCTTGGCCCCAGACGTCTTGGCCGGTAAACTTGGTGACAATTGGCTGCGCCAGAAACTCCAGAGCCAGGTTCACCAAAGCGCCTGCTGTGCGAATGATCAGATGAACGGAGATGTCCTTGGATGTGATCAGCAAACCTCCACTCCCATGGTTCCATCACGAGAAACGCGTTTAAGCTATCTTGGGCTGCCAGGGTGCCAGGATAGACAAGCTCAAGTTGTTGAAACCTCACAAGAAGACAGGAGTGGCAACAGCAAGGAAGCCCAATGCCATGGGCCACCGTCTGCTGCGAAGCTGCCGATGTTTCCAACAAAAGCTAATGCCAGGAGAAGCACACATCCCACCTCAGGGAGCCGAATCAGCAGGCTGACACCACGCAGACTTCTGCCAGCAAGGCTAACTTGAATTTGTCCGCGTCGTGCCGGGTTAGCAGTTTGTCCACCCATCTGTGCCTCACGACGGCTCTCCAGTCGGCGGCAGTTCACATGGTAGCCGAAACACCGCGCCGCTTGCAAGCCTTATCGCATTTCAAGGGTTGACCGTTAGCTCTGAAGAACTACAAATCAAACCCTGGAGACAACAGTTGCAGACTCCACCTCCTCTGTGCCTCGTGATGCGTTCCTACAAACCTCGTGCTAGAAAGAAAGAAAGGAGCATACTCCAGCACTAGAGTTGTGGGAAGTCAGATGACGTCCATTCCTGCAGAAGCCACTTGAAAAGCAAGATAGTTCAAGCGCCTAGGTTTTCGAAAGATCATGACGGTGCAGGCATCACATCCTCAGATTCAGATCCCAATGCAGCGCTAGTTAAAACCCTGGACTCCTGAAACCTGGTTCCTCTTAGAAGACTCGCCTCCAAACACAAAAAACTGCCTTATCTTCAATCGAGATACCAACAGCCAGGACCTCAGGGCCAAAACTGTGCAAACACGACATGTTTCGACACACGAACTCAGATGTCAGGTCTGAGGTCGGGCGCTATAAAGCTAACCAGCTGCTGGATGGCGGTGATGGCGAAGGGCGCTGGAACGCCTGCGGTTACTTTAATCGTCCTGGGAATAAGACAGGCAATCCACTGCAGTCCGCCTTTGAAGCCGCCCGGCATCCTCAAGTTGGAAAAGACCTTCACATCTTTGCGCGCAAGTGCAGTGACATCAGGTCAGAGAGGTGATGCTGCGACATGCTGCGACGCTGCAGCACAGTTGCAATGTGTTAGGTGCCCCTCCTGCTTCATGTAGAGATTCATCGCTGTCTGCGCACCGAAGAAGGAAACCAGGAGGCCTTAGTGGCATCGGGACATTGGAATGAATGCACTCTTCGACTGATTACTCTCGCATGCAAGCTCGTGCCTGAGGATCGAGTACCCGGATACTGCTGCAGTACAGTGCCTGCCCAAGAAGTACACAGCAACAAGCCCGAGGACCCCAAAGAGCAACGAGTGTCGTTTACTCACTCCATTGCTCGCCTCCTAAGATGTAGTAGTGGTCATTGTGCATAGCTGAACATTGCTGAGCAGCATTGCAAATGTTTTGCCATCTGAGTCTGAGCTGCCTAGCATGAGCCTTGCTGGTCAAACACAAAGACTGATTCAGCTGCAAGCACACGCTGTGACCGCTGGCCTATAGCAAGTGCCAGTGCGGGTACACAAAGTGTCTCGAAAATCATCGGCGAAACAAG